GGAGGACGGGCGCTGACATGAGCCGGGACCGCGGCCGCCGCTCCGGGCCGGGGGGCGCTCCCGGCCGTCACGCCTCCCGCGAAGCGCGCAGCGGCCAAGGCGCGCAGCCCGTCCGCAGCTCGCCCGCCTCCGGCGCCCGCCCCTCGCCCGGGGCCGCGCGCTGCATGGCCGGGCGGGAGCGCTGGGCTCGGCGGTGCCGCCCGGAGGGGATGTCCGGCGGCGGCGCTGGAGAAGGGCTGGATCTGCAGGCTTGGGCTGCCGCGATGCGGGTCCCTCCCCTCGAGTCCTCGCACGGCCACCGCGGCTCCGCTGCAACCGCCAGGCCCTAGCGCCTCCCGTCTCCAGAGCCTCCCTCGCGCTGCCTTGGCACGGACGCTCCAGTGTGACCCCCCCGATCGGGGCTCGGTCCCCCCCCCGCACCTGGGAGACCCCCCCATTCCCGATACACGAGCATCTCACGGAATGTTTTTGACCGAAAGACAATCGCGCAAATGTGCGCACCTGTATAGTGGCATAAACCCTGCACCGGGATTTGCAACGCACACCGCGCCCACAACGATGACCCCACTGCCCTGGGGCTGATGGGAACTGCAGTCAAAGAACATCCAGACAGCCACAGCTTCCACACAGCTGCTGTCCTTAAACCAGCGTGTGCTCTTGACACGCTCAGAGGCAGTTGGGCTACTCTGAAAATACCTGCAGACTGTATATGAAAATGTGTAAAGGAGAAATGCTTTATTTTCCTTTGGCACTGAAAAAGTGGAGAACTCCTGGCCCTCTAGGTATGGTTGCCCTGTGACTCTCATTATTTCTGACCTTTCACCACACTGGCTGGGGCTCATGGGTGTTATAGTCCAACATCTGGAGGAATATAGATTCTCTTACCTACTGAAGTCACCTTGACCCAAGTCCCCCCCCACCCCTTTTTTTGAGGACTATGATAAAAACACGGTTACCTTCCTAAGTTTTTTTTTGGGGGGGGGATGGTAATATGATTCTTTCTGTTTTTTTGTCATCTCTTTGCTTCTGGGGTGGTTCTGTTCTTTGCATCTATGTAATACAGTTCCTTAATACTGTAAGGCACCTCGAAGATGTGACGGTGGCAAGGAAGGGCATGCACATTTTCTATTCTTAGACTGGAGGTATTTAATGCCGAGTTTGCATAGCCTACGTCACAGACTCTGTGACCCTGGGCTCTAAGTTGCCTGGAGCTTCCTGCTGTGGCCAACCAATCACCAGGCACTGCAGGGCCCTGGGCTGCCCCGCCTCCATTTTCCAGGTTGCACCTGCGGGAGAACAGAGGGGAGAGCAATGGAGCTACCGAAAGTGGCCACTTTTGCTATTGCTGTTCTTTCTATTGTGTTGCCCTGAGCAGAGCAGAGCAGAGGCAGATGCACAGGCCTCCCGTCCCATCTTCAGGGAAGGGCAAACCACTTTGGTGCAGGAACCAGATCACCCCCAGCCAAACCAGTGGGCCAGATGACATCAGAGGGAAGCCCCACTCTAAGGGATTCCCCTTTGCAATGCTGGTGGAGTTTGCTTGCCCTCTGGTGGAGATTCGGGCCCGGGCTGCCTGAATCAGGCCCCTAGGCCAAAGGATGCCTCCCTTGCCCTACGTGTGGCAGAAAATCTAATGCCGCAGAATCCCCAAGTGCTTCATCAAACCAATCCATGTCTCCTCCATCCTTCCTCTCTGAGTCTTGCAGTTCTCACCAAATATTTTCTGGCTGACTGTAGCTAAACATTTATTGCCCCGTCTGATTCATTTGTAGCCCACCTTCATCTATCAGTTCTGGAATGCTCCATTTCCTGGTTTGCCTACATAAAATGCATTTAAAATTCACTGAGGATATATATTTCTGCTCTACTGAAATGCATTCTACTTCTTTGGGGATGGGAAACTCTGCAGACCCTTACCCTCCAACCAGTGTAGCTGCACTCAGACGGCACAGTAACCCATATTTCAACAAAAAATCCACGTTACCCCATAGATAACCCATAAATATGGGCTATTGTGTTGCTTGAAACCAGCCTGCAAGTGATGCTCCCCCTTGAAATCTCAACAGACATCATTCTTATGCTCTTTAAACATATCCCTGCAACTTTTCTCTTCTTTTCTTTTTTCAGAGCAATAGATGAAAATCTCAGGATAGAATGCTCCATCTGAGCAGCCCAATCCATGAAACAAAGGATGTGTCCAAACCAAGTGCACAATGGCTCACTTTTTTAAAAAGTAAATTAAAAGAAAGGAGGACTTCTAGGCAACCACAATTCCTTTCCTTTAAGTGATTCCTTACACAATCTGTTCCACCATCCTTGTTGTTTGGCCTGAGTGATGTCTAGGCAGGGTGGGGGGGGGGTTGCTGTACTCTCTGTGACCCAAACAGGATGGGCCTTGCCAGCTTCGAATCCAAGAGGATGTGCTAAGCAGGGCTGTGTCTCTGGAATGCTCCTGCCACCCCATCCAAGCTCATCTCAGCTGCGCCTCCACCTTTTCCTGTCCAATCACCTCTCCAAACAAGTCAGCTCCCCAGATCCAAACAGAAACGTGAAACCTTGAGCCTTATCCAAGCTAGCTTGGACTCCATTTTCAAACAGTGCTTTCCCAAAGGGGCTGAGAACCACAGAGCCAAGGTTTCCTTTCAACTCTTTCCAGCCCCTCTCAAGCCTTTCCCAGATAAACACTGACTCCAGTCCAATGGAACCGTTCTCCAGTGAAGGCAAACAGAAAGGTGACTTGTGAGTTGCTGCAATAACACTGAACTCCCATCTATCAAAAGGGCTTTAAGTTTCTCAAAGCAGATCCCTCGAAAAACACTCTGGATCCATTTAAACACCTAGCTAGAGACCTTTTGGTGGGTGGGGGTGGGGGGGGAGGCTGTACCACTTCAAGACTGCAAAGCGATGTTCACATCATGGAAAGCTCTGTCATTCAAAAAGTTCCCTGTGTATTGAAATATAGATGTTAAGAAGAAATGGCTTGGACCTTTTCTTCCTACTTATCACTTAACACCTGCATCTTCTCCCCATCCCCAAATTCTGCACAGATTAAAGGTAATCTGACAAACACAACACAAAAGGAAAAAAGAATGAGAACGGAAGAGGAAAACGCATGTCAGAGAATAATGCCCATGGATGAATTTCATTCTTTTTCTGTGATGTTTTTCATTTGAGCTGCAGCACCCCCACAGCCAAAGGCAATGTTTGCCTCCCTTCATCCCTGCAGCCCCAGTCACTGGCAGTTGAAGGAGAGTATTCCTGCAGAGTGGGGGTGGGGGAAATAGTTCCACACAGCTGACGATGTGTGCCCCCTACATATAGGAATTTGCTTGGGGGGTTATGCTGTGATAGGAGCCCCTGTTGCATCCAGTGACGATCTGAAATAGCTCAGCCTGAACACAAGGAGAATTAAAGCCCAAGTTATTCCTGTGGATGGCCAATAAAAACAAGTTCAGCAGGGCTGGCCCAGAGGAAACTCAGTAGCCCGAACAAGCAATTTTTCTCCACCCTGCAGGCAGACAAGACCCTCTTGAAATCTGGAAGAATGAAACTCCCCACTCCCAGTCCAGAGGAATGCTCTCCCGTCTAATCCAACCCTTTGGAATACTCACCTGTCCGAGGATGCAGCGGAGGGCAATGGAAGGGAGGCGGCTGTTTGGATTCTCTGTTCTTTACTTTTGGCCAGGGCAGCAAAAGTGCTCCTGAAGGCTTTGCTGAGGTTTCAGCACAATGCTCTGAGCAAAACGGCACGTGCCCCACTTGGGTGTTTTAGGGTGGAGCAGGAAGTCAGGAGATTCTGCTGCTGATCTCCTTTGTCACCTGGTTTGTTCCTTAGGAGGAGAAGATGTGGATTTGTTTGGCACATGGCCGGTTGTGGAGTCCTGACATCAAGTGGCCTGTTCTGGATCATACAGATATCTGAACTGCAGATTTAGGGCATGGCTGTGGAACTTCAGGCCATGGGCCAAATGCAGCTTTCCTGGCGTTCAGACTAGGCTCCCAAATGGCCTCACCTCCCTTTGCCCCTACTCTGTTGTTTGATGGTTTCTCAAGTTTTGTGCAGTCCTTCCCTGCACTGAAAGCTGAAATGCCTTTCCTATAGTTTAGTTGACGGCAGAAATGCTTTAAGGTAAAATGTGCAGGTATTCTTGTACATTTGGCCCTGTCTACTGCAAGCACGGCCCCCCCAGAGAGCTTTCCTGAAATGGGACCTGGTCCTCTGGCCGCGGGAGGTCTATTCATGCCTCAGAGCGTTACAGCTTCATGCCTAAGACAGACTTGAGGGCAGGGGCAAGGAAGCCTCCACTTGGAATCTTGCCCCTGCCTGAACTCAGATAGGCCACTCTTCGCTCGTTCTCAGTCTTCCCCTCCCTAAACTGGATTACGGCTGTTTGGAACCCTTACAACAACCCTGTAGGGTCAGTCAGATCATGTATGTGGAAGCACCTTGACCCCTTCAAGGCATGATGCAGGTGGAAGCTTCTGTCCTGCTCATTGTCCAGCTGAAGGGTCTTCCCTAACCAAATGATTTGGGCTTCAACTCGGAAGGGGCCATCGCTCTTGGAATCACTTCTGCAGTGATTTGGACAAACAGTGCTCAGTGGGGATGAGTCCTGGATGAATACGCGGAGGATTGGGACGTAAACTCACCTAGTTAGCTGTGCTTGCTGCAGGAACAAGGAGACTGATGAAAGAAAATGAGCAAGGATGATTGTCCAAATGGCCTTGAGTGTTCAGGACAGAAGCTAGCATTTCAGGGTTTCCTAAAGTGCCTCCAGGCAAAGGAGGCTGTATACAAACAACCTTTCCCCCACTCTAACTTTACTAGAGTCCTTTCTTGCTGAATTCTGGGAATGAGAGATCCCAAGGATAGCTCCTGTATATCCTAGAGGACCATATTTACACTGGAAGTTCTCCTCCTATTTTGGTGCTTGCATTGGAGCTTGGAGAGTCCTTTGACATCATCTGGTCCAAGATGATTGAATTTCTCTCTGTTCAAGGGCTGAATTCAGTTTTTAAGAAGTTTTTATGTATCATGTTCCAGTGGTGTGATTGGGGAAGAATGGCAGCAAAGGATGGGGCAGCAACATATATTAGCATATATTATTAGCTTAAAGCTCTTACTGCCAGTGACAAATAGACTCAATAGGCTTCAGATGTCCTCAGTAGACTGGGAAACAATTTAGAGAAGAAAGGGGAGTGGTCATCTCTGAGCCTCTGGCTTGAGGCGTTGTACTTCTTGGTATCCAGCCGTCCTTTCCAGGGAAGACTGAATGTGTAAAGTGACCACTACATTATGAGTAACTGTTGAGGGAAGGGGGAAAACCAGCTGGGGAGGAGAATGGAATGAGATGACTGGAACACCAGACAAGATCACTTCATGCTGCAATTTTTTGTTTCAGGTCTTGCTTGCCCTGATAAGCTTCCTTTCCGAGCAGATGGGCCAAAGCAGCCGACCTTTCCCTGGAACAGCTGGTGAAAGTGACACAAAAACTTCTCCAAGTAAGAAATGAAACATTCTCAACAAGACGACAAGGGGAACTACGGAAAGTAGTTGCAAGACAAACCAGTGGCATTTGCTCCCACCACCTTCTCCTTTCAACTGTTTATGGTAGCAATGAGTTACTGGGACATGCCATGGGGAGCAGAGTTCCCAGGTCTTGGGAAACCACTGCTGCCTTTCCACTTGCTTCCAGAAGAGGCCGTCTTCGTTTTGACCTGCAAAGACCTCAAGCAACCATTTCTCCAGCACAGGTGTTCTTCATAAGTTTTGCCTGCAACTCACACCAGGATAATTGGCTTTACTGACCAAGGTTGATAGAAGGCTTCTTCCAAAATATTGCAGCCCAGCCCAGTTTAAACCAGGAGTGTGAAACACATGCCTCTCTAGATATAGTGGCCTTTAACTCCCATAGAGAAAGAACCATACTCTCCCCCATTCCTGCCCTAAATTAACTGGACCAGGTGATAGAAAGAGATCCTTTGCCCTCATACTGATCAGCCAAAACCTCACAGTGTGGCATAGTGGTTAGACAGGTTGAGCAATCCACATCACTCGCTGGATGACTTTAGTCTCTTCAGACTAACTGACCTCACAGCGTTGTGAAGGCAAAAGCCCTCCTCCTGGAAGATCCCTGAAGGCAAGGAGGTCTTCCCCAGAAAGTTTTCAAAGCAGGGCTAAACTGGGAAGTTCTCTCCAGCTGGGATTTTAATCCAACTCTTTTTTAATGCAAGCAGCTACCAAGCCCTCAAAATTTGTTTCCAGGTCAAGGCCAGCAAACTTGGACAGTACTTTGCCTCTGCTCAAATCATCCCGTTAGTCATCCCTTTGGTGATGACACCACCCTGTCTGCATCCCCAGATCTGCCCTAGAAGTGGCTGGCCGGTAGAAGACTTGTGGACAAGCTCCTGCCTTTCCTGAGCTAATGCTTGATGAGTGCCAAGGTTCCTTGCAGACCTATTATTTCAACACCATTGAGTAATTAGGACTTTGCCTTTTTGTTTGTTGATCCTAACACACTAAAGAAGTATCCAATTCTTCACCGTTAACAAGGATATTACTTTGAAGTCCAGCATTGCAGAAATAGGCATTTCAGTGCATTTGTTTACCCTTTTAAGGCATCCACTGGGGGAGCAGAAATCTTGCCCTCTGGCTATATAAATAAAGCATGAGAGAGGTTATTGCATAGTAGGGTAATTATTTACTCGTGATTAATGAAAAATCCTGAAGGATTTGTATGCAGAGTGTAGTCAACACGAAGAGAAACAGAGCTCTTAAAATGGGGAGGGCAGACACAGGCTAGAAAACAGTAAGAATGTACCTTTGCATTCTAGCCAGGGCTGGCATGTCCCCTTCTCCTCCACTCTCTTCTAGGAACACAGGACGCTGCACTACAGGTAGACCTCCCTAGCCTTGCCTGGAGATGCTGGTGATCGCACCTGGGTCTTCCTACAAGCAAGGGTAGTGCTCCAACATCAAGCTGCTCTATCAGGCAGGAAATCCACAGACCTTTGCAAGCCCATCTTTTCCTTATTCCTAAAACCCAGATCTTGCTATCCTGCAGGAAATTCTGCCACCTTGTGGCCACTGTGAATTCGATTCCCTCCTTCTTCCTGAAATAGATGTCTTAGCTTCATATGCACAGCTTTCTCCTTCCAATTGACAGGGAGCTGTTCCACGGTTTCCTCCAAGATGCGATACATGCAGAAAGCACCACCACCGTTGGTCTAGTCCCTACACAGATTTCCACTCTTCCACCGCACAGCCCTTCATCTCCCACAGCCTTCCCTCCTTCCAGACTGGGTGTCCTCGGCCCCCTGCCAGCATCCACCACTGACCACCTGCCCTCCTTGCCTCACCGTGGCCACCCTCTTCCCCACCCATTCCTTAAGTCAAACCAGTCATGTCCCACTCGCAGACTTGCTCTCAAACCTTCCAATGCAAAAGCAGGCTTGAGATAATTCAGCGTAGTGTAACAACTGAGGGCAAAAGAAGAAGGGGACGGCAGAGGATGAGGTGGCTGGATGGAGTCACTGAAGCAGTTGGCGTGAGCTTCAGTGGACTCCGGGGGACGGTGGAGGACAGGAAGGCCTGGAGGAAGGTTGTCCATGGGGTCGCGATGGGTTGGACACGACTAACAACAACAGTTCTGCTTTAGAATGGGTCCATCTGTTTGAACACCTGCAAGCAACCCTCCGGAACAAGAGAGAGCTCCTGGTGCATTTGGAGACAGCCATATAATACTAAGTGGATGAGTACAAAGCCACAACTTCTATTCTTTAATTTGCTCAGAAACCAGGATCAGGAAAAAATAGCGGCTTTAATAGTTTAGCAACTGGCACAGATGGTACAGTATTCTGATCCACAACTGGTTTTACTCTCAACACACGACGAGAACATTGCACTGTGGAGCTTGGAAGGGCGGGGAAGCTGCATTGCGTTTGGTGTTGCAGCTACGCAACAGGACACTAGCATGGCGGGCATTTTGTACTTTGCACTTACATTCAGAGTTGTATCTAGGGTGCAAAAACCGAAGCATTTGCCACAGCTAGGAGCACGGGAAGTTAATTTGTCCATCGAGGCTGGCAACAGCTCTCCAGGGATTTAACAAGAACACGTTCTCATAACCTTTGAACTGGACTGGCCAGGGCCTAGACTTGGGCCCTTCCGCGGGCCAAGGAGGGGTTCTGCACCGCTGACGCATGCTCCCTCTCCGACGATTAACCCAATAACACACTCCTGGATTAACCCAAAAGCAAACCAAGCAGGAAGCTATGGGGGAGGAAGGTATTTCTGCCAGAGACTCGAGTCATTTATAGCAGCAGGCTGGGCCTTGAAGTAGATTGTCAACATGTGAGTTACAAAACAGATTCCACTGTAAACATTTTCACTGGTTGGGGGTTCTGCTGAGGAAGGATGAACATTTGGATGAGATTTTTTTGTGACGCCGGAGTCACAGAGGCTTCAGTGAGGTTTGCTGTCTTTAAAGAAGGTGGAGCGTATGCAGTGGGGATACGACACAGTTACTTTCTACCATTTGGAACCCAGTGTGGGGGGCGACAAAGCCTGGCATGAAAATGGGGGGAGGTCGCTAGCTGCCCGGGGTCACCATTCCTTTGTGTACGCACCACTCACGGATCCACCATCACAACTGCCCCGTCTCACACCTGTGTGAGTTGTTGTTGGCTGTTAGATTTTCTTCGCTTTAAAATGGTTTACTCTGCGGCATTGCCTTCCTGCTGGGAATGAGGGGGGGAAGAGGGTCCCACGGAAGCTTTCCATGCATGGCAGCCTCTCTGTTTGCCACGTGAGGTAGGTCAGCCCCGAATCTCAAATCGGGACGCAGGCACAGTATGGTTCACTGACTTGGCCAAGATCACGCAGCAAGTCAGCCGCAGAACCCAGAGCTTCCTCGGCTTTGGCGAGAAGGACACACAGCTACCTTGCAGAAGCTCCAATCATCGGTTTACCCGAGGGTGGGAGGAAAGGGACATTTCGAGAGCAAAACAATGTGACAGAAAGCCAGTGCTCTGTGCTGGTGGCACCCGTTTTCAGAAGGCAGCTTTGATCTGAAACAACCCTCCAAACCCACAGCAAAGCTTTCTGTTAGCCGATGCTTGTGAGGAGGTCCTTACCCATCTTTCCTCCAGGTATCACACACAAAACCACCCAATGCTACGTAGGGGTGCTTTAGTGTCACCGTGATCTCTGCACCGAAGCGTCTCTCTACACACAGCACAGCAGGTTACCATACAGCATCTCAAGGGAGATGAATGACAAAGCATGCCCAAGGGATTTCCACTGTGTGAGGGGGGTGAGGGGGGGACACTTAAAACAAAATGGGCCTCTGGATAGAAATGTGCAATGGCCACCGCTGGAGATGTTTCATGCCCAGAGCTAATTGGGCTGAAGTCAGCTGGTTATCCAATTGAGCTATCTAAAGTCACTGTAGCTAAAGTACCAAAAGTCACTTGTTGAGCACAGGTGATCGTTTGCTGGTTTAGAAAGTCAATCTCTATGGATACACATTAATAAAATTACAGGTGACGAAGTGCCTGCAACGCCCTCTGGTTTCCTGATAGTGCCCCCCAGACAGCTGTCAGCACATAGGGAAAGTCAAGTGCATAGTCAGGTCTATCAGAACGGATCCCCCAGCTGAGGGGCCCTCGGGGGCTTTTCCAGGTAGTGCTGCTACACTGCCAGGTCCCCCAGTTTCCCTGTGATCTCCCTCGGGGCTTTGTCACTTAAAGGCTTGTTGGGATAAGTGCGCTCTCCGAAGATGGTGCTTCCGATTCGAACGTTGGTGGACCCGACTTCAATCTGCATAGAGGGCAAAGCAAGAGAAAGATGATGGGTATGCCAAATTCGACAGCAAGGTTTTGGAGGTCCTTAGGAAAGACACTGTCAACAGGCCACCAACCTCCATGGATCCACCTTCTCACCACCTCTGTCTCCAGTTGCTCTGCTCCCCACCTTTTCCCCACCGTCTCTTCCACTTGTATGCCTGACAGGCAGTGAGCAGGCAGGCAGTGGCATCTGCTGTTCCACCTCCTGATTGCTACCCATCTCTGGCCCAGGGCAAAAGGCCACCTTGCTATGATGAAGGAAAGCAAGTTGGTGGGCACTTGTGTTTGTCCGTGGGTCCTTGGCACGTGCCTGACCATGCCTACCCTCGGCGCCAGCCCTGGTCCAGTGTAGAGGGCAGCAAAAGAGAATGAGGCAGGGTGAAATGCAGGAAGTGACCCAAAGCTCAGCCAGAAGGAAGGCAGCAACGCAGCAGAGATGATAAGGTAGATAAAGAGAACGAAGGCAAGAGAGGCCAGAAGGAGAAAGGGATTAAAAGAAAAAGTGGCTGCTTCAGTGGGGTCCTATGAGAAAAGGGGACCCTGTGAAAGAAGCAAAACAAAGGGAAAATGAAGTCAATGCCAGACAGGTACACACACCAAAGAGAAAGAGAGAATCTATGAAGGGACATAAGGAGGGGGCAGTCAGTGCTGACTCCAGCGCTCCAGCCTGAGCTTGACTGTCCACTCCCAGGGCTGGACATCCAGGCACTACACTAAGAGGAGGCGGCAAAAGGAAGGCATGGAGAGGCAGCAGCCCACAGGCAAACCCAGACTTACTGCATGCTGGAAGTCCGTCGACATGCCCATGCTCAGCTCCACTTTCTCAAGGGGGATGTTGAGGGCGTCACACAGCTCCTGGCGCAAGGACAGCAACTTCTGCAGGGGGAATGAAGGAGGAACGCTGCTGAACTTGGTCCTCGGGTCCCCTTGAAATCCAAGCCTGCTTGATGAGCATTTCCCCTGCCCAAAGGTCTGGCATACCTGGAAGTCAGGATTGGGTCCCTTGCTGAGGTCATGGCCAAAGCTCCCAATGGTCATCAAGCCCACAAATTCAAGGCTGGGACATTTCTGGAGGATGTGTGCCACTGTCATCACCGTTTCTTCAGGGGGCAGCCCATGCTTACCTTAAAAAAAAGAGCATTTTAATTCATATTACATTGTTGTTCCAGCTCCTTCAAGGAGCCCCACAAGGTATGCGTAGGTAATCCCCTCTCCTACTTTATCATCACAACAGGCCTATAAGGCAGGTCAGGCTGGACAGACAGATTGCCTCAATGTCATTCGGCAAACATCGTGGTAGACTCGACATGTGAAGCCGAGACTGCCAGGTGGAGGCGGATGCTTGACCTTGTAGTCAACACATCTGTAGGGGGTCAGGATGGGGTGTGGGGGATGATTTAGCCAGTACATAACTTCGGCTCTCAAAACATAAGGCATCCTTCTCAGAAAGAATCCACACCTCCTTGCATTTTAGCTCTACCCCAACATGTTTCCAAGTAAAAATATTCCAACCAATGATTTGGACTACCTGGAATGACAAGCCAGGTATTCTTTAAAAAAGGCAGTCTGGAAGTGAGCCTTATCCTTGGCAAATACCTGGATTATTTCTGTACTGACACCTACAGCGGTAGGTGTGCAAGATCTCCAGGTCATCAGGAACCTCGTTCACTTCAAGAGTCTCTGTATGCGCAGCTGCATGAACACAGGGCTTCCTTTCACAGACATCCTGCTAAGCATACTGATGTCACAAGGTGTGTGCAGTGCACGGAGCACAGGTGTGGGAGGGTCATGTGAATGGATGCTATGCTTTAAAAGCCTCAGGACCAGCGGCAAGATCTCTCCCACCTGAGGCCCCAATTTGGCCCTTTAGAGTTCTCCAGAAGGCCACTCCCACTGGCCTCCCTCCATTTTGTTTAGTTACCCATTTTGTTTGGTTTGCTGCTTCCCCAGATTCCATGCAGCTTTTCCCCCTATCCTAAAAAGCTGAAATGACTCTCTGAGGGCTAAGCTACAGGCAGAAGGAGCGTTAAAAGTTACAATATTAAGGTACGTTTGTAAGGTTTTAGCATTTGTAAGCTGCCCAGCAAACCTTCAAGTTATGGGGTGGCATAGAAATGGAATGGATGATGGGTGATGATCGTGCTGGTGGTGGGGATCCCTTGCCTTCCACTGCCTCCCTGCACCACAAGATCGTCCAAATGAAATTTGGCCTTCAGGCTGAAAAAAGCCCTACACTTTTACTCCACAATGAAGCTGAAAACCAATCAATCTCTTAAATATTTGAGACAGACAGGAGGGAAAGAGAATGTAATATGCAGGCCACTTACTGTCTTCGCCACTGGTGTTCACTTGCACCATAATCTTTAGCTTCTCTGAAGAGCCTTTCTTCTGCCAAGAACTATTCACTTTGTCCGCCAGTTTTATCGAATCCACCGTTTCTAACATAAAAAGGTTAGGTACCCCTAAACAAAAACATATACATACCTATCTTAGAAAATGTGAGTTGCACAAAGTATTTCCACACTTGTCCTAGCCAGAGGAAGACGCAAAGATGCCTGCTCGTCAAGCACATGCCACAAAGAGCTCACTTTTTAGAGTGTAAGAGACACTTTGGTGCAACCAGGTTCATCCTGATCTTGGTACTGCAGGAATTCATCCCTGGCTGCTTCCCAGCACAGCAGATATATACCTCCTTGTTCTTTCTTGATGCTAAGTAGAATTTCATGCTTTAAAGAAGTTGTTTTCCATTCGATCATCTGAACAAACTATTAAGTAAGTGTAAGCCATCCTGAGGCTCATGCAAAGGACGGCATACAAATATCCTAAATGAATGAATGAATGTATAAGAGTCAAAGGCAGAAATTACCACATGTGCAGGAATCAACTGAAAATGAATGTGTTGGCCTTCATATTCAACTTTAGTTTAAATATTTCTATTCTTTTGCAGTTTACTTGGGTCACAGTTACTTTACTTTTTTGCATTTCTACTGTTACTGTGATCCTTTACTGTTGACAACTCAGGGGTCTTCTATTTCTAAAAAGATCCACATTTCATGTATTGATTTTACCACTTTGCTACACAGCTCAAGTTCATATCCACTGTGGAGAAGGGGTTATACCTCTCATCCAGCTTTTGATTTAACAGCTTGAGACAAGGAATTCCATCTAGCTGAATGCAAAGATTTCACGCAGGCTAGTGGGGCTGTCAGAAGAGGGAAAAAATACTCCAGTAACCCACTGCCAGATCATGTTTTCTGTGCTTGCTACAGAGGAAAGGGCTTCTGTTCTACCACTGCCAGGTTATCAATATAGGCTACTAGGCTCATTTGGCTCAGTAGCAATATAGGCTACTGTGCTCAGACGTATTTGTACTGCATCGTTGTTACTGAATATACCACCCTAGAAAACATGCATGGAAGAAGCTTGTTAGCATTAAAATACATAACTACTCATAACAGGCTAATGGGTGTTTGAGGGCTAGGAACTTTTGTGGACTCATTTACACAAAAGGTCCGAGCCCTGAGAAAATTCAGGTCATGCACTCCTAATTTCAGTTTCTGGAGAAAACACAAGTTTTGTGTGCTTCCCATTGTGCAGTTCAACTGCATTCCAAAAATAGAATTTGCCTGAGTCAGAGCACGAGCAGTGGTGCATTAAAGTGAGCCTAACGCAACAGTCCTTCCCTCCCACAGCTTGTTGCCCACTCGCACCCCACACTCACACCCCACACTCGCACCCCCTCCCAGTCAAGACCAAAGGGCATTAGAGTTACCAATCAGTTTGTTGACATTGTGTCTCTGCAAGTGCCCGATGAAATGCCATTTAATCTCTGGACAAGACGACAGAATCTAAGGACAGAGGCAAAGACTGAATCACTTTTAAAACACATTATGCTGTTCACACATTTGCAACTGAAGGATGCCTTTCACGTTGATTTAGGCACTTGCACATCAATTTCCCAGGCAAAAGGACTTTGCAGGACACCCCGCATAGGATCCAGATATATACCACAATTTTATGCATGTTCAGGCAGGAAAAAGTCCGACAACTCCTAGAGTGTGCTGGCCAACCATGCTGGCTTGGGAACGCTGAAAGTGACGGGACTATTTTTCTGTCTAAACATACGTAGGATTGCACCCTTAGTTGTACTTGGATTAGAGCCATTGAAATTAATGAGACCAAAGTTGATCATGACTAACTTAAGTCTTCATGATTTCAGTAGGTCTACTGTATATAGACCTAAAGTATAGGACCAACCCAGGGGATGGGGAGAAACCCTGATTATTCTTATTTAGCAGTATATGACATTTAATCAGGTCTTGATTTGTTGCTCAAAGGGTTTGCTAGCTGTATGTGGTTTGTGTGCTTACATGCTTTTTTGCATGCATTTTTAAGGTTTTACTCTTTTAGACCACCCAGAGAGCTTTGGCTATTGGACAATATAGAAATATAGTTTAAAAAACGTGTAAGACAGAAATTGCTTCCAAAGCTCTTCCATGTGTGTCTGTGTTCAATTAATTCTGAGGGTAGCCAGCACTAGGAACCTAGGAAACTACCTCACACTGAGTCGCTGAAGCCAGTATTGGCAACACTGACTCTCCAGGGCCCCAGGTGGGATCCTCTCCTTGCTCTTCCTGGAGAAGTCAGGCATTAAGCCTGGGACCTTCCACGCAGAAAGCTCTGTGACTCTTCAATCCTGAACCTCGCTCAGGATTTGTCAACCATACAAGAACTCCATGGCTAGAAAAACGCAGGTAGAAAGAGCATAGGAAACCAGTAGCCCACTTTATGCAGCCAGCTTGTAGAGACTAAACACCTTGATAAACAGAGGGTTGCTTCAGAAACACACACACACATGCAATATACTTACCCTGGATTCTGATGCCTTTTCCAATAATTCTTGGACCTAAATGGAATTAAAGACATTTATTCAGCTCTCGTTTGTTTCCTGCTAGATGAGTAGCACTATGACTTACGGACTGCATACGAGACAGTTAATTCCAGTTATGCCAGTAAGCAGAAAGGGAACAGATATAAGAGGGGCATGATACTGAAGAGGAAATGCCTCCTCGTCCAAGTGCAAACAGCCACTCCTGCTAAGTACAGCAACACGCATTGTGCTGCCAACTCCTCCCATAGCTACACAGGCAACCAAGGGCTTACCACCACTGGTGCCCCCATGTATTTCACAGAAATCTGGCGCCACCCAATCCCAGGACGAGGAAAGTCAAATTAACCAGTCACTGTCTAGCGCTACTGCTGCGCAGCAATGGGAAAATAACAGCCCAAGGCTCAGAGCTGGATCCACAGTGTAACAGCTTCCGATTCACTTGTACTTGTAAGCATTCTGACATGCAAAGGAATGTGGCCAGTTCCAGACCCATCTCTCCTGCCACCTCAACCTTTCAGGCCTTCTTGGAATCCGACTGCACAATGTGGCTATGCATGATGAATGAGGTACTGGCATATGCCACGTGACTGAAAACTAAGGGGCAGACGAGAACCTTACAGCAACTGATGGACATTAGTTATAGTGCCATTATAGAGCATAGAATAGATACTCTAATGACTACCATTGGTATCCTCTGTTATAAACAGCATGAATCTAAAGTCTTAAGCATGGATGCTGAACATAGCCTGGCAATAGCTCAGACTACAGGGCCAGAGAGCAGGCCATCCTGGACTGTACCAACATCTGGAAGGGCAGATCTGGGAAGCCTAGACTGCAAAAGAGGTGACTGCATACGGAGATGCTAAGGGGCATTCAGGGCCTTGTAAAACAAGGTTTGGATGCCACAGACCAGAGGACAGGAGAAAAGGAAAGCAGAGCTTGAAGAACTCTGTATAATATTCTGTATGGGTGGATAGAATATTGTGTGCAGTTCTGGTCACTGCATCTCAGGAAGGAGGCTGTTTTAACATGCACATTTACGATCTCGCTTTAGGAACGAACAGCAAGGCTTGCAAGTTTGCAGATGGAAGCAAATAATTTAGGCTGTCATCCTATAACAATTTATTATGAATGAACTCAGTGAACCCAATGAACTCAATACAGAATTGAGCACATTCTCACATTTTGGAATGGTGGTGTCAACATAGTAAGAACCAAAGTTGATTGGGTATCTTAAAATAGTGCAAGAGCAAAGTGCAAATCCAGTCAATGAGGTCAGTGTTTAAAAAGCATACTGGAGCAAAAATTCTGAAAATTCACAAAGGGTTGCCTATCTGCTTTATATAAGCCTACGGTGAAAACTTAGAATATTGTGTACATTTCTGGTTGCTGGACTGTCAAGAAGGATATTATAGAGCTGGAAAAATACAAGCAAACTTGTAAAGGGTTAGGGCTAGTACTTGAACAATTCTCCCATGAGGAAAAGGTAGAATATGAGGAGACTTTTAGTTCAGAAAAGAGCAACTAAGGGTGGGAAAGAGATTATGAAAATTTAGAAAATGAAGCATAGTACTGAGAAAGTAGTGAAAACTGGTATTTTTCCTCTCCCATAATATCCAGGGTCATCCAGTGAAGTTGACTGGTGGAAGATTAAGCAAAGCCCAATGACTTTGTCACACATTATATGCCTTTTGTGTTTCATTGCCACAAGATGCAATGCTGGCCAACAGATTAGTTGTCTTTAAAACAAGAGTCAATAATTGCAGGTAGAAAACTATAAACAGCTCTAAGCGATCAAACCTGTCTTGAAGAGTTGGCACATCCTGTTTCTGGGCTCCTGAGTGGTACTGGGGTGCTCACTTTGGAGAAAAAGGGTGTAGGACCAGCTAAACTTCTAGTCTAATCCACCAGGTGTTGTTATAATGCAACTCATAGGAAGGGAGTAGCCCCAGAAAGGGAAAAATGAGCAGAAACCCTTTTTCTTTTCAACCTGCTACATCTCAGCAGAAATCACTTCTCTTAGCCTTTACATATATAAAGTGTTCCCTTTTGATGTGCTGGTCTAGCAAACCTTCATCTCAATAACAGAACCTGTTAATCCCCAACTATGTCAGAATTCTCGAGGATGACATGGGCCCATGGAGCGTTCAGCTCAACGATGAGTGCATTTTGATTAGATTCTAATAGGCATGTTTCTGTTCAGGAATTGACAGGTTTCATCCAGCAGATGCTACAGAAATTATTTAGCATCTCAGTTCTTGTTGCCTTCTGGTCCTGTAGTCTAAACAAACAAGGAAAGTAAGGACACTCACATAGTTTTCTCCAAAACTGCGCTGCCCAAGGTTGTAGGCCTCAAGCACCATTTCTGCAGGTTTTGTTTTACTGACAGCTACAAGGCGAGGCTGTATAGCAGGCAAGCTCTGTGTTTGAAAATAAAGAAAGGGTCAGCAGGCAAGTGGATCAATTGACGGAGAAGCACGCACATGGCTCAGTAAGAGAGAACATGGGAAACTCTGTTCGCAGACCAGCTGTCACAGATGGCGATTATGAACATGAGATACAGTGCTATGAAATGCTTACTTGCATCTGAAACCAAGTTCTGTCTGACGGAGGTAAGTGCTGTCCCTTAGTGGTGAGACATCAAGTGATGGATGATCACACGTGAGACCAGCAAATTGTATCGAAGCACTTTAAGAACTAACAGGTGAAAAGTGCAGTCTACACATGGCTGGTTGAGACTCTTTTCTGTCTAAATATGTGTAAGATTACAACCATTTTTCAGTATTAATTTTAGTGGATTAGCATGACAGGGTAAGCTGTCTGGTGTTCTTTGCATGCTCTAGTCTAGAATGCCTATCATCCCCAAAACCTCGGCCTTTCCAGCTGGGCCTTCATAGTCCAGAATAATTGGAAGGCACCAGGTTACCTGGATTAAAGACCCCCTTTATTGGCTACATAAAGTGTTATCTTCAGTTATCAGCAAATAAATAGATAATCCATGCATCTAAGTATGCATGGCAAATGGATTTTAAAAACCCCTGGGCTAAATGGCCATAAATGCAAAACGAAAAGCCATGATGATTTTCTACACAGTGCAAGACAAGCAGAATGACCACCCAGAAACCACTGGCAATCACAGATTTGTTAATTAAACTTTAAAACCCAGGCAACACAAATGGGCATATATTTTACGCACATTTCTATACTGAATCAACGCAACCTCTGCTGAAATCCTATGCCCACTTCTCCCAGAGTACCCCCGCCTTGAATCCAAAGGCACTTCCAAGCAGAAACGCTGAGAAATGCACACGCTGGGGGCTGCCTCACCTCTTGAGAGAGAACATCCCGCACTCTGTGCAAACTAAGGGTCGTATCCAGGATCAGCCTCCCATTCTTTTCATGAGTCTGTCTAAGCAAGCCTAACGTTGGCTACAGTCCTAACGATGCAATCCCATGCATGCGGCTTTTCCGACCTGGAGCCTTCCAGGTACTTCAGATAGTAACTCCCAGCAGCCCCAGTCATTGGGGCTGATGGGGCTTGCAATCCAAAACATCTGAAGGCCCACTTTGGAGGAGGCGGCTCTGCGTGCCTGACCCCAAGAGGAAAGCCCTCCCCTTTCCTCCCCGCAAACACAGCCATACACCCCCGCAACCAGGAACGACCCCAAACCCCGCCGCCGCTGCAGGCGCCCTCACGCTCTCCCCGACCCCTCCCCCCGGTTGCCCCGCGTTTCGCCGCGCACCTGGGGCCTCCGGGCCGCCGCCTGCTGCACCTGCTCCTGGACCGCCCTGAGCGCCGGCCCCAGGCCTTCGCCAGCAGCCATGCCCGCTCTCCACATTCCCCAGACAAGGCCGCTGCGACCCCCTCCCACTTTCCCCTCCGAGCCGCGGCCCTCCCCTCTCGCCCGCCCGCCGGCTTCCGCCACACACGCGCAGGCAGCCAATCGGCGCTGAAGGCCGAGCCCGCCTCGCCAATCAGCCGAGGGGGTGGCGCTGCAGCCGAGGCGAGGTCGCATCTGCCGGCCGGGCTCGCCGCTCGGCCATGTTGGGGAGGTCGGGGCGCAATCGAGCGGCCCGGGAGCCGCCTCCGGGCAGCGTGCGAGCCGGTCCTCACGACGCGGAGCTGCGCGGGCGCGGGCGCTGGCTAGCAATGCGGCCGCGCGTGCCAGCGTCCCTCCGTGCGGCGTGCATGCAGCCCGCATCAGCAGTCCGCGCGCGGGCCAAGTCTTAACCGGCTGCACTTACATAAAACTCCATGCGTCATCACATTGGAGCTGCCTACTTCGCAGGGTTGTTGTGAGATTAAAACGCACCTCTCACGGTACTGCTGCTGCTCAGCGACCCAGCCAAAGCCTTTCTTCAGGATTCTCCACTGCATCCCCATTTTTCTTTCCTCTTTCCCAGCGGACATGCAACCTTCCACGGGTATGGCACATGTCCTCGCCTTTGCTAAGTGTGGGGCTGTAGCTGGATGGGTGACCACATGCTGTGTCAGCAATAGGCCTCTTCCATCTCTTCTATGGAGGGATATTTTGGGCTAGGGGTGTGTGCATGTATGAGAGCTCTTTATTGATTAAAAACATATATAAGATCTTTGGCCTTTCTGCTTCTGCATCTCCATGCAGCATGAATGCTGAAACCTCTTGCCTCTGTTGTCTCCACTTCTGGCCAGCACTTGCCAGGCAAAGTGGCTTGCCTGCTACTGAACTGTTTGCTGGAACACAAGAAAATGCTTGACAGGATTCCCACGGGCGCTGGGAACCTCTTTTTGATATCTGCCACGCCACCTCTTCCCTGTTTATGTTGAGTATTGCCTCAGGCTTCACAGTAACTGAGGGAAAAACTGAATTTCCCCTTTCATAATATCTATGGGAAGTATTTTAGGGTAGCCTGGTCTTGATTGGGCAATAAAGACTTGAGGAAGACTTGCTCTTGCTTGCAGAGATGTGCTGATATGGCAGATTGCTGCCTGCTCTCTCCTCTGAGGACTGTGATGAGAACAAGCGCTTCAAAAGTAACCCCATTCCAACTGCCACGGGGTACAAAAAATGGCCTCAGAAGAGGAGAGCCAAGAATGCAGACTGCATTTACTTCCTCTTAATCAGTGCTGGCAATTGCTGAAGCTCATGCTAATTAAGAAAGCTTACCCAGATAAAACCTTCTCTGGTCCCTATAGGGGTCGGGGCAGCCTTGCTGGACCGTCACCAAGCCATGGCCACCTCTGGGTCCCTTTCTTCTGCACAGGCTGGAGCTTTCTGCCTCCTTGCCCTCTCCTTGCCAGCGAGCACCACCAAGGGTGGCATGCAGGCATGCAGTACCCTTCCACAAGCATGGGTTGTTCCATCTAGATACTGTGCAAATTTAGTCCGGGGGGGGGGGGATTAGGCTAGTGGATAGTGGGCAGGAGGGGCCTGCAAGCATTCCCCCACCACTGCCATCATCGCTTGCTGTAATTGGCTTGTCTCTTTAAGAAAGGCTAGGGAAGCCATGGACTTCCTGATCCCCCCACCCCTTCCTCACTGTTCCCATCATTAGCCAGGGTTTGCCTATAAGCTCCAAGCTCAGAACATGCTGATGGAAACATGATCCTCTCCACTCAGGCACACAGGGGCGAAACATGCCTTGGCTGCAAAGGTTCAGCCTCCTCCCATCTCCACTCACAAAGAAAAAAAGTCTCTGATAATGGAGTGGCAGTTGGGTTTGCCCAGCATCTTTGCAACAGGCAGTATAGGATCACTAGAGCAATCATCACGACAGGTTTCATGTTTGTGAGCTCACCTCTGCCAGTGTGCAGAAAAACTGCTCAGCTTTTAAGGTCTGCAAATAGTTTGGCACCCTGGTCTAAATTCAGATCTCAGCATGTGTGCATATAGTATCCTATGATATCTACCGTAACTCTGAAATGCCCCACACACACAGAGTGGGGCTGACCCAATCATTCATGTTAGTTATCCTAAAAGCAGAGAAAATGTTTTATTTAGTAATTACAATGAATATCAAAACATACAGGACTGATTTAATCGGATACATGAGTTCTAGGAAGAAAAGAAAAGAGAATCTCAAGAGATCAGAAACACAGCAGCCTTTCCAAACAGCTGATGCCCAAAGACGACAGCAACAGTACCCACTCCCCCCCCAAGCCCCCCCCATTAAGAAAGTTGGGTTGAAGCATTCACATCCCTTTGCAAACTTGCATACAGGAAACGTGTTTGTTCAATGGAAATATAAAGATGGAACAGAAAAATGTTAATTACTTAGAATTGCAAGAGCTATCACTTGAGAAAGGCTCCTCATTTTAACAAAACTGTGAAGACACTAAAAAAAAAAGCAAAAGAAGAAATTCTCTTTGCAGAATTACATTTCTAGCAGCTACCAGGCTGTAAAGAATACATTTGGAGAAATCGTCTACTGCACTTAATTATTTTTCACATTACTATTTGCTGCTTTTTATTGAATAGTGGTTTCAAGTTACGTCTTGTGAAAGTCTATATAAAAAGAATTGCAAAGGCTTATTCTTCTAACCAATATATTTTACATGCCGAGTTGTATAAAAAGTCATATAATACACTTTGGCTTTTTTGGAATTTAGGTTTTGCTACTTTAAAAAAGCTCAAGAAGTAAAAGATACCCCAACCTTTCATTAGGACCGAAAAAGGAAAATGAAATTGCTCCCAATAATTTCACAGAGTTTCCCACTTCTTCTACATGAAGAATTCTACCTGCAAATTGTTATATGAAAGCCAGAACAAGCTGGCTTTATTCCATTGCAGTACTGGATATAATATAGGAGACTGGAATCCAAGTGTAGATAACATTCAGAAAGAAAGGATGACATATATTTTTGTATCTTATCTAATCTAATCTGCCTTAGCAATTTTCTACACAATGAGCCAACATGTTTCATTGGGTAGCTTCTGACATGCTTAAGCAGACAAACAGCCACTCAGAGAAGCAGAAGGAACACTTTGGAAGCTTTTATGCAAAGGAAAAATGGGACAGACCTGACAGTATCTTGATCCTACATTATCAACTTCGCAGCTGCACCAATTCCACTCATGAAGCTGTGCAACTTCTGTCTGGAAAGATGCACTGCCTGATAATGATGGATGCTGGAGAAGGTGGCAGGGACGAGAGAGAAATTAAAGCAGGCAGAAGAGGATTTTCAGAATATCAACAATTCCCCCCTTTATTCCCTCTATAATACATTCAACATCTTTCAGTGTAATGGTCTAATTTGTGTCTTTATGTTCATTTTTGGTAAACACAAATAAAAAACAATTCACAGATAATCAAAGATACATTCTCAAATTCACACCTACGTCCTTAAAGAAATTCATTGGCACTCTTTAATGTCCTATAAATATGAGAAATAAACATGCTTTCTGAAAACCAGAACAAAAACAAATTTACGTGGACAGTGCGAATGCAGCAACTGGACCCTACACCTCATAGTACCTCTCACGTTACAGACAGCATGGACACACAGAAGCACACCAAGTTGCTTTATATGTGAGCTGCCCCTTAAATTCCATTAAGGAAGCCGTACATGTCAAAGGGCTCAAATAATCAGAGAAATCCTCAAGCCACTTGGTCTGCTGTAACATCAACTGAGTTCACTGAGACTCCGGTGGACAAATATGCTCATGACAATGCAGTGTGTAATAGCACTTAAAATACATGCTCCTCAAGGGAGTTGTGGGTAAATAAAGTGCAGCACCATCATTTCTGAGCATGCTCACACTACACTGTGGTGTATAAAAAATCCAGCAGCAAACACTCCTCGAAGAATGAGCTTAACAGCCATCTTCGGCTAGCTTTTCCCTTTGTCCCAACTATGTTGTTTTGTGAACCCAGTCAAGTACCTAAACAGGTGGGCATCCTGTGCCTTGGTTGTACCACTTCAGACTGCAGAGTGATGGCTTGTGCACCATTAAATGCTCCTCCCATTTAAAAAACAACAACAACAAACCAGAACATTTGTATATAGATTTAACATGTCAGGGAGACAGGTAGCAACCTGGCCCTTTCCTTACTCTGTCACTTTTTTTAAGGGATTATTTTTCCACATCTAGCAAGCAATCTTATTATCCCATCTCATCTCCAACCCAAGCACAACCCCCTGTCGGAAGTGGTACAGGTTTGGCACCCCAGTGAAATCTAGGCCCAATACTAAATGTTACCACCTTTTTTCTACTTTCAAAACTAATGGTTCCATCTATCTCACACCCACACAGATGTATTCACATTTTGAAAAACTTCCATGGAATATGTTTATCATTAGTGGCCCATGCCCCCACACACATCATGGGAGCATCAGCCAAGCCAGTCTCTTTTTGACTCTGGAACAAATTTGGGTGTTCCATTAGCCCTGCTTGCACCATGTAAAAAAGCAACCAAAAAAAGAAACAGGCCAAAGAGATGCATGTTTGAAGAAACTGTCAGAAACAAATCTAAGGCAAAGCTGGCAAAGCATCTGGGACTCTTACCTCATTTGCAGACTCACAACTGGCTGATTTTACAGAGATGCGTACATGTGAATACTTTCCCCAAAGTAAACATTGGCAGTTTAGAGCACTGTCACCACCGTTTTAAGCAGATTAAGGAGCAGTCACCTCTGATTAACATCTATTGTTTGGGAAATGAAGCAACCACACTTTAAAACAAACACATAGACAAACAAACCAAAATCATAACAACCATGAGTCCCAGAAACATGTAAGACACTCCACTCTGTAAAAAATACGTTTGCAAATTTAGAAATTGAGAGAGAATAACGAACAACACAGGCAAAGCCTTTGCATTTAACCTTTGCTCTGCATGGACAAAGCAGGTTAGAGGAGCAAGGTGATGCCTGAAGCCCTACCTGCCTAGAGGAGAGAGAAAGCGGACCACCTTGCGAGATGATGCCTTCCTAGTTTTGCAGGGGCTGTGCTGGCCTGGGGGTAAAAGCAGCAACCATAGTTTGAAATGTCAAAATGTAGGAGTACCTTGGGGATCCTGCACATCTCGGGGCTGCTTGCAAAGCAAAGCCATAACGAGCGTACACAGTACCGCTGCAAACTGCAAGGCACAATGATCATCTCTGCTAGCGGCACACCAGTGCCAGCCAGGCTTGGTTTTAACTCAACCATCCCAGTATCTGTTTATCAGCCATGTGAGCACACGTGAGCATACAGGGGCAATTGGTAACTCTATTGTGGGGATAATGAAAGCTCTGATGTAGAATTTCAGGTCTACAAGGATTCGTACCTGGAATATACCTGATAGGAGTGTCTAAAGGACTGACTATACTGTCCATGAGACACATGCTTTTAATGTGGACTTTGGAAGACGGACGTCAGCAGGTAAGTCTAGTGGCATATACAGAAAACACTAGTAGCAAAGACCAGCATTTTCTGGAATGCTTACCAGAAAAACAGAACGTGCTCTAAGGAACAATCCAGTACATGTTTATACAGGAAAAAACGTCAGATAACTCACAACATTTCCCAGCCAGTCACACTAGGAATTACCGGATGTTACTCTGTCTAAACATGCATTGGATGGTGCCTCCGAGCTGGCCTCTACTTTAGAGCAACCCATCTCTAGGCCAAACGAATCCCCAACAGACCCCTAATGCAGCCTGCCATTGGCTTTGGCCACAAATTTTGTCATCCCCAGCCATGATATGACACTGATGGTGAAAGTACTGTAGTCAAACCCATTGGGAAGGTGCCTGGTTGAATAAGGTTGAAATAATAATGGAAGGACTCCAGGCTGGCATTCACAGGGTAACCAGGAGAATTATTTGAGAAATGAGGATGCCTGGTTCAATGTTAATTGCTTGATCTGGGTCACAGGGCTGTCTCCAGAAAAACTGCACTTGATAACCAATTCCAAAACAAATCTCTCATGCGCATCACTCATTGATCACTTCAAAAATCATCCACAAAGGAGTGAAATGTGACCCCCAAATTGGCTCAGAGTAATATTACCTGCCGCTGGAAAACTGCATAGTAAGTACCAAAGGGTGGGGTCTACTTAGTGTCTCCTAGGAAGACGCTGCAACACTGAATCAGGGGGAACAGCAGAGAAACTGGCTGCTAAACCATGTGCTTTATATTCATGTACATGGCAGCTCACCAAGGTCCTGGCAAACCTTACTTGAGATTGCTAACACAAGGAGGCCGACCAAAACCCAGCAGCCAAGGTTGCTGCACTCAGCTTGGTAGAGCACCAGGTGTGCAGGCCCGCACAATCAACTTTTGCTTTGCTGCTTCCAATGATGTGCAATGAAAAGCAGCCTTTGCAGGTGGCAGTGGCCCCAATGCGGGAGAAATGCCTGAAAAAGGAAACTTCTCTTTCTGGGACAGCTGCATTTGGAGTTGCTATGATGGTAGGTGGGAAAGCATTTGATGGTGGCACTGCTACTGTCCCTATAAGCATTGCAGAGGAGGAAAGGGGGCACTGAGGTTGGGAAGTGCTCTGTCAACACATCCTGAAATAAGTACCATTTAGACAAATGCCTTTAGTGTGTTGATATTTAATGTTCTAGGTCACCATGCCAAGTTTGGAATTTGTAGTGTGGGTGATTTTTTAAAAAAAATATTCAAACATAGCACCTTTTTGGAGGGGATATGACAGGGTCCGCATTATGCGACAGGTAAAATCCAACTACTGGAGCGCATGCTCAGGAATCCAGACAATTCAGGATCCACATATGGAGTTTTATCCAGAGAATACGCATATCATCCAAGATAGGCTACATTAAGACAACTCTGATGTCTTCATTTGCTGGATAGCGTGCTTATTGCTTGCCTGTTGGACTTCACCTGCGACCTGTGTATGGTTTCAAAGGCTTTTGCTCCAGTTGCTGCAAAAAATCCAATGAAACAGAATGTGTGTGTTTGATAGAAGCAGCTGCAGGTCCAATGGTGAGAATGTGGCAGCCTCTCTGGCATGATTCCTTGTTGCTTTCTTCTTCTGCAGAGGGCAAACTTAACAGTGTATCTGACTGCTGAGAAATAAGAGGTCAAGAAGCTGAACCATCATGTGCTTCTAGTCTGTCTTTTCAGCACAAAGGGCCTGGGCTCTTCTCCAGCATCCAAGAAGAGGGAGAAATCACACTGAGGAGAGCAGGGCTAGGCATTCGTTCCATCTGAGCCAAGATCATCAACCTGCCCCTCTGGCCTGCATCCAGTTCACACATCCTCCCCTGTTCCTAGCCAGTTTTCATCTCTTAGCTCCTCCGCGGCTCCTTCTGAGGGCTTAGTGGGATTCCCAGCATGGTCCATGAACATGTTGGGGATATCTTTGCCGAAATAGATCTTGCTGTTGGAGGCAATGGCTTTGTACTTCATCAGCTGCAAGAATTCTGGAGTCAGCTTTAGCTGAAGGAAGAGAAAGCAGGTCAGGAGCACAGTATGAGGAGGAGAGCGAAAGGTCTCTATCTCATCCCGACAGCTCACAAAAAACTAAAAATGCCACCAAAAATATTAAAAGCAAGTTGCTTTTGTTTCACTAATGGAGGGCTGTGAAACAAGATGCTGGAAGGGCAACAGATTTAAAGCTTCTCACCAGCTGCGGCAGTCCTTAAAGGCACAGCTAGCTCAGGGAAGTGACCCCATCTGCCAGGAAATGAGTTGCCAAGCTGCAACTGTCATCATAGTCAGGCAGGGGGTCAGGCACCTGTTTCAACCCAAAGGCCACATTTTCTTTCAAAGAAGCTCCCAGGGTCCTGTTCCGGATGGGACAAGATGGGAGGTACAAAAATACCAGCGACACCAGCCTATTCACAGTTAAAGGCCTTCCTACCAGCAGCTAGGTCTCAGAAGAGCTTCAGTCTTTTGGAAAGGGGTTGATTTTCTCTTTTACAACAGCAGGGAACCTTTATCAAGCAGGAATGGTTTGGGGTTCCATGCCAGAGCAAGCGGCAACACAGGTAGCGCTCCTTACCTTGTTGGCTTCTGCAACCTTCAAGGCAGTATAACATTCGGCATCTGCTTTTGCCTTCTCCCTGGCAAGGAATGCAGCGTCTGCAGAAAAAGGAGACGTCCAAGCCCAGGAGAACTACAAGAGGCCTTGGAAGAAGGCCACACGGGAGGCACATCTTCCAAAACTGGCACACATATTTGCCAATATCCACTCATATTGCACCCTCCTACTCATGGTCAAAATTTTGACGGACTAGATCAGAAAAGGGGAGACAATGCAACTGTGGCCATAGTCAGAGAAGGCCACTATGGCAAGGGAGCAAAGCTGAAAATAATCCTGGTGCCACTAGAATCTCGTTCTAGCGCCATTCAATTTAGCATTAATAATGCAAACAGAGCCTGACTATTCAGAAAAAAAAATCCCAACCAACACCTTCCATATGAGTTATACTACAGCTCCCATTATCCTGAGCCAGCATGGGCATAAGTATGTTTTGTTTTTGAGGAGACAATTTAGATATTTCAGGCTGAGGGTCATGGACCCAGATCGTGAACCCAATTCAAAGGACTTGAGGGGATGCAGATTGTTGGATCCAACCTGGGGAAATGCAGATTCAAATCTCACAAATTGGGGTTTGGACTGAAAACAGTGCAGGGCTACAGCCTGTAGCCAAGCTGAACGTATCCACTAACAAGCTGAGAGCATTTAGTGCTACCAGCTCCGTCTTCTCCAATCTCTAGCACCCTCCATTTCCTTTCTGATGTCTCACCGAGACATTTCCATTCCCAAAAAGCAGAGCCTGATGTATTCCGTTATGAAATCCCGACTACAAATGCAACAGTCTAGGGACTTCAGCTAGTGCAGAATACAACCACCTGAGTGTTGGTGGGGGTGAGGCAGTCAGATCCTAAGACCCCAACTGAACTAGTTGCTAGTTTGTTTCTGACATCACTTTAAAGTGCTAGCTTTGACTTTTGATGTCTTAAATTACGCAAGTACATGGGAGAGGATTACTTGAAGGACTGCTGTCTTCCTCTTCAGTGAGATCAGAGACAGAAGCCCTTTTCACTTGCTTGCTTTGGAAGGAGTTAGGTGGGAAAATACATAAGGTTTTTTTCAGTGACCCACATCTGCCTGGGGAGATGTCAGGCCCCATCAATGCACTGAATGTTTTAGGAAGGCCCTGAAATTCTACCTGATCACCCTGGCCCTCCCCAGATTATGTTTTACTGGACTGCCCTGCTTTGTAGCTGCAATTATGCCATATGTTTTAAGTAAAGTGTCATTGTTGGGACACAAGATGGCATCGTGGGTTAAACCGCTGAGCCACTGAACTTGCCAGTCAGAAAGCCGGCACTTCGCATCTGCAGTGGGATGAGCTCTCAATGCCTTTTCCCAGCTCCTGCCTGCCTAGCAGTTTGAAGTGTGTAAAAGTGCAAGTAGACAAATAGGTGCCCACTTCCGTAGGGAGCTAGCAACCTATGTGGAAGTAAGAACAGCTGGCAATGGACCTGCAGTGACGGCAGCGACGGCAGCAGCAGAGAGAGCCTGGAAGATGCGGACACTCCCACAGATTAATGCTAGCTGCTTCGTGTGAGCTAGTTCGCCCTGCTCCCGCCCCCGGGTACAACATGGGTAGTGCATAAGTGTGACTGAAAAGTTAGCAATCTTAGGCAGCCAAACTACTCTGTACTAGCAGTGTACACTTCCTGCCTAAACTGCACTAACACCATACTAAATAAGTAAATAAATTGCCGGTGGTTTATGTTTGCTACTTTATCATTTTATCAGGTTTTTATTATATGAATTTTAAAATTCTAAGCTACTTTCTGCCCTGAAAGATTGTTATTTATTTAAGATATTTCTAGGCGATTTAATGGCAGTGCCAAACTACATTTGTTGTTGTTGAGGCCATTGGTAAAGAAAGAGGCTCTGGTTTACAAAGCAAGTGTTAGAATCCCCCCCACACCCTTTTTTGGTTGGAGCCCCGGGGGAAATGAAGGAACCTGCCCCCTTTCCTGCAGAGTCTGTCCTTGTGTTGCAAAAGACAGATCAATCTATTAGCTGGTCATTTCTGCTCACATGCCAGGAGAGCAGCTGCAAGTAACCCCAACGGCTGAGAGTGCATGAGCTTCAAAGAGTGTGTTGCAATCCTCTTGTTGGAGCAGCTGGACGCATTTGGGACAAAGCCAAGAATTCTCTTGCCTCGGGTGTGGCTGGGCCTCCCAAATCCTAAGGGGCTCCTTCAAGAGCCTGGCACTTGGCAACGGGCCTTGATGAAAAGAAAAACCACCAGAGCGCTGCTGGAGATGGCCTAATGAGAGACTGCTGATCTGTAAACCACTAATTGGCTCCTCAGCCAGATGATGTGGAGCTTGACAGGACCCTTAATGAACATAACGGAACTGAGGGGCAGACTGCTCAGAGACAGCCTGGCAGGCCTTTTCCTAGACCCAGGAATTTGCCCAACAATGGGAATGACAAAGAGGAGGGGACATTTCCAGGCTGCCTGTGGCCTTTTTATTTCCCACCCCTAGTCTACCTTGACCGGTCAAGGCAGACTAGGGGTGGGAAATAAAAGGGCTACAGGCAGCCTGCCCCACTGCAGCTTTTTTCTCTGCCACCATGGAAGGGGTGAAATGCTCAATCCCTGGAAATTGCCCACCTCTGGTACAGACAGCACCAAGCCAGTTAGAACAATGGCTTAGCTTGCAGCTCGCTATGGTTCAGTTTTTTTCACCATAGGGACTAATTCTATCTAACCGACCTCACAGGACTGCCCTGAGAATAAAGCAGAGGGGGGAGAGGATTATATAAGCCACCTTGGGTTTCTTGCAGGAAAAAAGGGCAGGATAGAAGAACAATTACTTAAATACATGCAAGGCCTCCTGCAAGGGAAACACAGACTCGGCCATAAAGCATCATTATTTCTATGTGCAGCTATTCAGAAATGATGCCAAAGTGCAGGTACTCCGAACGGAAATACTCTTGTTGGCAGTGAAATGAAAACATATGGAAACACAAAACTTGACCAAGGGACCTGAAACACTTAGCATATTTCTTCAAGCTTACAAAATTCTGGCTGTAGAAAGAGCTTCATGTAAGAAAAATACTTGAGAGCAGCTTGCTAGTTGAACAGGAAAGGAACCCTAAGGCTACTAAGACAGGTAGCATGGGGAGAAGGAACCCATTTGCAAGATGCTGCTACTGCTGCTCCAAAAGCAATTTTCAGGCAGACACTGCTTATATTATTAAAGAGGCAAGCAGACATCCTGCACCCAGGGTTCACTTGCTTTTGTGTGTAGATGAGATCTGGCTCAACTATCTTTCAAGTTTTTTCATCCAGGAAAAAGGAAAGTCTCTCCAAGGCCAATCTGAATCCTGGGATGATTTGTCCTTTGAACTCCTTGGACAAGCAGGTTGTCGCTCACCTTCAATCTCAGAAATTCTCTTCTCAGTCTCTTTCTCCATCACCTTCTGTCCATAAGTTATCTCAGCCACCTGGGCAATCTTCTCAGCCTCTGCAGCGAAACACAAAGTTTAAAAAACTGACCCAGTCCAATGCTGACAGAAGCCAGCAACCTGCCAAAATCATCCATCCTTTCCACGTGGGTACTTTGCCCCACAAAAGTCCTTGGAAACATTTACTCACCTTGCCTGACATTCTTACACAAACAACTAGGATACAAGTAAGGATGTGCAAAGCAGCAAAATTCAAGTTTGTGGAGAGTCTCCAAATTCTACCTCAGAGTCTGTATCAGATTATGAGCTTTGCTGTTTCCCTTGTACATGAAAATTTGCATTTTAATGTGCATTTCCCAAATGTACACATTTTCCTCCAGTGATTACAGGGTGTCTATGTGCATTTTTCAAACTTACACACTTCGTGTGCACTCTTCAAATGTACCTTTCCCCCCAGTCTTTTTCTTTCATCTTTTACAAAGTTAGAAATCGAGGCACTTGGAGTATTCAGTTCCAGAAATATAAACTGGGTAAAGTTCTGGCCAAAAATGACCTGAAATAAAAAAATCTCATACCTCTCTACAACAGCCTATTTGGGAAATCCCTTCACTCTTTGCAAAGCAAATGCATATTTCAAGTTATCATACTTCTTCCTGACCGTGGCTAACCCAATCACCATCAGTCCATTCACTGCCCTTATCTCACAAGCAGTGTGACCATCTTAAACCCATTCTCCACTTTGAGCTCACACTGTGCAGACATGGGAGGATGGCTGCAACCTAGAATCCACTTGTTTTAATCCCCTTCCCCTGCTTCGAGTTGTGCATCATGCACATTTCCTAAGGCAAGTCTTTTTGGCTGCTTCTTTCTCCTCTGGCCACTTGTCAATACGGAACTCTGTCTCAGGTGGCTTGTGAGACTGCATTCTACCTGGGTGGGAGAGCATCATTTCTCATGTCCTGCACAACCCTTCTTACATGTTACTCTTGGCTTTAAAACATTCACACTTGGGAGCAAGAGCTGTACACAGACCAATGAGAGCCTTCTTCCGCTCTGTCTCGGCTTCCTTCTCCACCACCTTTTGCTTCTGAGCTGCAATCAACAGCTTTGTCTTCTCACTTTCCCTAAAGGGGCCAAATGAAGCAGATGGATAAAACAGTGACACAGAGGATCAAGTTCCTAAGACGAAAGATGCTCCATCAGGCAGAATAGCAGAGATCAGGACTGGAGAACCCGTGGTAGTGCAGATGTTTTGACCTACAATTTTCATCACCTCTTGGCATTGCTGCCTAAGGCTTATGAGAGTCATAGCCTGAAACAACCTTACCACTGCCGCAGAACAGGAGCCTGCAATTAGGCAATATCTGGAGGAACAGAAGTTCTGCAACCCTGCTTTCATGTTCTACTTTCAGCAGCCAGCCCTTCCCTCCGTTTGTAAGCCAACAGCTTGTTGACACAACAAGCCAAGAACACTGTGCTATACAATGCTGAGCACAGGGGGAACTTTCTGATGTCATAAGGGCCAATTCTGGTGAAACACTGTGCATGGAATGTCAAATATTTATTTAATTTAATTTCTATACTGCCCGGTAGTCGACACTCTCTGGGTGGTTCATAAAGCCCATTGAAAATGACAATAAAAGATACAATGTATCAAAACATGAAAACATCACTAATAGTTGACAATACAAAATTTAAAACAAAAATTTAAACACTATCAAATAAGATTTTAAAAAATCATCAGACCTGTTGAAGCAGGTCAGATCACTGGTCTTGTGAAGCACCCAGAGAGCTTTGTTTACTGGTCGGGACAGAAAACTAGTGAATGGTGTTTTGAGTAAATGGGGGTGGCTTGCCAGGGTCTCAGGCGGAAAGAGCTTTTCCCCAGCCCTGCTCTTTGTTAATCAAAGAGGCTGGAACTGCACTTGGGACGTCCCGCAGGAACAACACGTGCCCTGTCCTCAGGGAGAAGACTGCTTCCCACTACTAGGAGAGCAGCATTTGTGAAAATAACACTTGCAACTCTGAAATGGGACTGCACACAGGATGGGAATAGAATGTTATGCCGTGACTCAAGGACTAAGCATAATGGCTAGAACCTATTCCAGAAGCAGCAATTTTCTGTATTGGAAGGAGGCTGGACTAGTTGACCTTCGAGATTCCTTCCAGTTCTGATTCAAGAGAAAGAGAGAGACAAACAAGCACATCACCACACTTGAAAAAAGGGAGCAAAAATTCTAGTATACTTACATGAGTTCATAGTTCCTCCGAATTGCTTCAGGGATGTTTGGCTTTGTGACTCTGACTGCCTGGACAAACAGAACATGCAGATAATGTGGGAAGGTATCTACGAAGCCATACATACTCAAACACAATCCAAACATAATACTGATATCTAAGGGCTGAACTTCGTGCCAAGTCCATGGAAGCACCACACAATGCAGTATCCTGGGAGAGAGGTCCTCTGTCCTCACTCCACAGACAAGCAACCACTGAGGTTGAGCAAGTCCAAAGCATCAGACATCTGTTGGGAGAAGAGGGTGACCATATATGAGAAAGCTGATTTGGAGTGGGCACTACAGGGCACCAAACACCTTGCAATACGCTCTTCCTGTGCCTGTGGAAGTAGATGAAAGAAGGTGCAAATGTAAGACACTCAGATGGTTTATCCCTGACCATTCTTCATTCAAACAATGCGCTTGGGGTGGAAATGGGGAGAAAGTTCAGAATTCAGATTTTACAACAAGCAGCCAAAATATCTAGCCAAGTAGAAGAGGAAGTGTGCTGTCTGGCTGTGGTTTTGGAGCTTTGGGTTCAGGTCCCCACTCAGCCAGGAACCCATCCCTCTGGGTGACTTTGGGCCAGTCACTGCCTCTTACCTAACCTACTTCATGGAGTTTTTGTGAGGATCAAACAGAGGAGGAGGACCACCATGTGAGGTGCTCCTCGCAAGAGGGAAAAAGGCGGCATATAGATGTAACAGTACAAAAAAAATCTGCAGAGAAATTAGGGCAATATTGACCCGACTCCCACCTTTCCAACCCCTGGTCCATTCTGGACCAGAGCCTGATTTGAGGCACGTTCCCTCTACATTCTTGGTTACCTGTATGATGAGTCCAGGTGCCATGCTTGTCAAATCTTGCTGGAGAGCTAGTTTCAGGTTCTCATCAATTTGATCTAGCAGAGGCATGAAACCAGAAGCTTCAGAATTTCAAAGGAAAACCCAGGCTGGAGCAGGTTAGTCATGTTGGATGAGGTCTTGTGTGACTCAAAAGGAAGAGGCTTTTCACGAATGTGTGTATCATAGAAGGGTGAGCACAGGAGACCGTTGCAAAGGTCTGGCCAGGACCCCACTAACTGGGACCTACCACCACTTTACTTACAGCTTTGTACGGCCGAAAGCAATAAGGGGAGGGATGATCAAACTCCAAGACGGAGGTCCTAGGGGAGGAGCTACAGGCCAAGGACCAAACACTTGCTTGGCATGCAGAAGCATTAAATAAACTAAAATAACATCCAAATGTACAACTAGCGAAATAAACAATCCAATATAAAACAGAGAAGCACATAGACATGTGCCACTGCTACTAACTATACCAAGAATATGAACATCCTATCCCAAAAAGTAGAGATCGCAATGTGAAAAGGCTCACAGAGAATCAAATCTGGAACTAAATGTGTTCGTTTGGTGCTGTGTGTTGCTTGAGCAGACCAGCATCCATTTTCTTCTTGATCAATGCATGATGACCATGTACATTCAAATGTATCCATATTTAGGTGGTCTTTTCAATGTTTAACTTGCTGGGGCAAATTCTTTATTAGAGCCAAATGGCACACTTTCCCACACCAATCATGCAAATCAAGTATTTCCTCACCTCTCCAGTTTTGGGCAAAAGCTTATCTAAGAGACATCAATAAAGAGGAAATAACGCTTTTTGCAAATATTCATTTAGTTAAATGAAGTCATGTGTAACCAGGGTTGAGATTAAGTGACTGATGAGTGATTTTGTTAATTTCATTTTCAATCACTCCCCAGAAACACTGAGCAAATGGGCTAGCCACCAATAATGGAAGTACATGCTCAGCACCCCTGCAATGTAATGAAGATTAACTTTTAGCTACCTGCAAGTTTCACTGCAGCGAGAAATCCTCACTGTTTCCAGTTTAGAAAGAGCCATGAGGTAGGGAATGGGGAAAACCATTCTCTGCTTGAGGCCATGGACAGCTGCTGCTAGTCAGAGGCAGCAATGCCAGGTTAGATAGTGCACTGGGAATAAAAAACTTCCCATGTTCCTTTATGGTTCAACTTGACAAGGACTCAGAGGGTTCAGACGCTCAACCCTGGCTGATTAGCTTCATCTACTCATGCCTTTCTTTAATGAAACTACTAAGGCAGAGGGACCCTCTTGTCCTTTCCATCCAAGTGGTGCAATTCTTAAGAACAATGATGGACGGACACAGAAAGTGGAGAAAATTAGTGGATACTATACTGCATTGTTAGGGGGCAAGTTTAAAAGAGTCGAAGACTTCTGTATCACACCACATACTTTAACACTCCCCAGTCAGGTATACTTCAGATGTGATGGTGGACGTCTGCTGCTTTAACTGGTCATTATATAAAGACACAATGCTCAATGCATTTGAGCTCAAATTATGGGAAAAGATGCAGCGGACCCTCAACCCAACCCCTGGGCGCTCCCCATATTTAGTCTAATCCTTGGCTCTCCAGACCCTTCTGGCAGTGCCAGCCTCCTCTAAGTTAGTCGCTGAACACATGTCATGCTAGACATAAAGAGTCAAAGCGCTCACCAAACAACTCAATATAGACTTCCTGGAGTGTGTGGACGCTGCAGAACTGGTTGAGCTCATGGTGTATCTTATTGAAGATGAGGGCCTTGTCGTAGTCAGCCGTGTAGTTCTTCACTATATCATAGACTATCAAGGAGAGAAGGTGTTGCTAGGAAGCTCAGGCTTCACAGCTGCAGGGGCAGCAGACTGGAGCCAGGAGGTATTACTGTAGTATTTATTATGTGTTAACACTTTTATATACTGTCCGCATTAGCCAACTGGCTCTCTGCACATTTACAATAAAAGCTAAAAGAAAAAACCAACATGATAAACAATACAGCATAATATACGAGGTGTGTCCAGAAAGCAATGAGAACGAAGTCCCTACACTCAAGAAGGGCTCTGTGAAGGTAGAAGCTGGCCAAGGTCACTTGGGGTGGGGGGCCAGGTGTATGTGCGAACACCGATCAGTTGCTTTCCAGTCCTGCCAGAGTCGAGACATTCCCTTTTGTGATGCCCTGTTCAAGTGCCTCATATTAAGAGAAATGGAAGAGTGTTTGGAACAGTGGTACGTGATTAAATTGTGTGAAATTGGGTAAAAGTGCATCAGAAACTTTGGAAATGGTGAGGAAAGCTTATGGAGGAGCTGCGCTGTCATCTGCACAAGTGTACCAATGGCACAAGCTGAGATTGGCTCAACCTGGATCCTTCATCACAGCAATGCACTGAGTCGCAGTGCTTTGGCTGCCGGAGTTTTCGGCTGAAAATCAGATCATGGTGCTTCCCCATCTACCCTACAGCCCTGCAACTTTTCCATGCTCCCAAATACGAAGAATGGTTTGAAAGGACACCATTTTGGTAGTGTGGATAACGTCCAGAGAGCCACTATGCAGGCTCTGAACGCCGTCCCACTGGAAGACCTACAGGGATGCGATGAAGAATGGAAAAATCACTGGGAGCATTGTGTACACTCACAAGGTGCATACTTTGAAGGAGACGATGTTCAATTGTAAAAAAAATTCAGTAAGAGAATTTTAAAAATATCATTCTCATTACTTTCTGGACACACCTCGTATATAAATGTGATATGAGTTGTAATGTACCAATCCCATATCCAATACAAATACAAAGATAAATAACCCACAAGCCACTCAATGATAGTTTAAATAAAGTACAGTATAAAGTAGCATAATTAAAAACCAATTAAAATAAATATAAAATAAAAAGGGTTTAGCCTGGTGTCAAAAGGCATAAAGCGTTGGTGTCAGTTGCACCTCTTGGGGGAGTAGATTCCACAATGGGGCACCACAACCAAAAAGCCCCTTCCCTCGGGGCTGCCTTCCTTACATCTTTCAGAAGTGGCTCCTGGAGGAGAATCTCAGCGGATGATCTTAAGGTCCAGGTAGCCATATATGAGACGCGCTCCTTCGGATATCCAGGCCCTAAACCAGCGATGGCGAACCTACAGCACGTGTGCCCCAGCAGCCATGCCCATATTTGCAAAGATTAGGGGCGCCAGGCAATGTCACTCATTAGCTGCGGCTGGACAAGCTTTCACAAGGCCAGTCAGTGAGCTGCCAGGAATTTGCATGGACTTAGCGGGATTTTAGCGGGATGCAGGTGGCGCAGTGTTTAAACTGCTGTGCTGCTGGGCTGGTTGATCGAAAGGATGCTGGTTTGAGTCTGCACAACCTGTTGTGATTTTAGCAGAAGGCAGGAAAGGTAGGAAATACACTCAGGTAGGAAATACACTCAGATGCCTTTTTCAGGGCCGGCCAAAAGCTGGTGGTCAGTGGAAAGTTGCCCCCTAGAGCTGGCGGTCAGCAAATTCAGGTTTTATTGCAGTGTTGGCACTTTGTGATAAATAAGTGAGTTCTGAATTGCAGTTTGGGCACTCGGTCTCTCAAAGGTTTGTCATCACTGCCCTAAACCATCTATGGCTTCACAGATCAATATGAGCACCTTAAAGTGGGCCTGGACTTCAACTGGTATCCAATTTAAGTGGTATGATCTTGCCTGTGAGTCTTTGTTAGCAGGCAAGCTGCCCTCTTCTGAACCAACTGAAGTCCCCATGCTATTTTCAAGGGAAGCCCCACATAAAGCATGTTACAGTAGTTCAAATGTGAGGTTACCAGGGCGTGGATTGCTGGTGTTAGGTTCTACCCACCCAGTTAGAGATGTAGTTGATATATCAGCCCAAGTATGTGTAATGGAGTCAATGACTAGGAGGCAATGGAAAATGACTCCAGAGCCTGGCAGTCAATCCTACGCCATTTTCTTAGAACAGAACATCCAAGTCTACTGCTCTTTACCCAGGCTGTCATTGCATCACCCTACTGTTGCAACTGACGCCCCAAATATCATCGCACATTCTTTCATTCCTGAGTCCAGTAGTGGCAGTAAACTCACCTGCACTTTGGATCAGGAAATTCACCACCTCAATCCTGTCGAAATAGATCATCACTCCCCCACTGTGGAAAGAAAAGAGTAAAGGCAGTGAGCATTAGACAAGACACCATGTCTGAGAGCCAGCTGGGAACTGGGTCCATCATCAAAACCCTGCTGATGGGAGGCCCCAGAGTGGGACAGGGCTGCAGGAGCAGGTCTGGCCCGTCTGCAGCACAGCAACGGCTGTGCAGGATGGCCCTTTTCAGCTGCAGCACCAGAACAGCCGGAAGCTCTCCTGCGAGAGGTGGTGTGGTTCCAGCCGTCTCAGTCTTCCACTGTGCAGCAAACATTTCCACCCATTTTTCTTGTGAAATTCACCAAAACACAACCAAATCTAAACACAAACCTGAAAGTAATGATTGCCTGGATGTAAATATCCAGATAAAAGCACAAATCCAGGTGAAATGACTGAACATGAGCCTCAGCAAAGGTAGACCAAACAACTGTATGTCCATTCAAGAGTGGTCTCTGTGCCACCTGCTTAAATACTGAAAGCTTTGATTCTCTGCATTTTAGGAAGTAATTTTATCTTTTCAGTGTTGCCATCTAAAAAAGCTGATACTACAAGAGGGCATACGAAGTCTATTTATGCTGACCATGATTCAACTTGCAAGAGGCAGGTAGATAATTTAAAGGACTGTGTACATCCAGTGTTCCAATAAAATGTTCAAGTCCAAAACACCCAAAGTACCTCATGCTGGGGAAGGCTGCATCTCATTCTCTTTTACAGGGGGGTCTGGAAGCAGAGTCTGTTTGATGCCCTTTCTGTATTGGTTCTTTCTGGGTTACAATTCTGCCCTTGTAGAAGCAGAAATGAGTTCTTACTTTCTTCCTTTGAGTGGGGCTTTAAGGTTCACAGTTTAAGTCACCTTGGATGTCTTTTTCAGATGGAAAAGCAGGGTATAAATGGCTATATAATAACAAAATAGAAATGCTTAACTGTTTCATTTTTCCCTTTGCAAGCTTTCAGAGCACATGCAGAATATTTATATGCCACCTAGTGGCATATGAGGCACTTCACAGCTTCTTCTGAGAAGTGGAATGCGATCAGGTGTTCCCTTCCGATGCAATCAAATTAATCTGTGTTGCACTGCATTGCAATAATTAATAAGTTGGAAGACATTTGCTCCTATATACTGGTCTTGACTGGACAAGAGAGGTTAGGCAATTTCTTAGAGGATTCTATGTAAATCTTACATCTATGTAAGATGTTTCTAGAGTAGGTAATTCCATGCTTTACAGACTTCACTGTGAATAAGCAGAATTTGCAGCCTGTTGCAGGATTCCTTATCTCAAAAAAACTACCCATTTTTCTAGTCCTTATGGAGCCAAAGCATGTGAGCAGAAAGTGGATGAGCAGAACTTGCAAACCGGGTTAAAGCGCCATTTGGAATTGTCTGAGGCTCCCTCACATTTAAGGCAAAGAAAATACAAGCCAGCAAAAAAAGTTCCATTATTCTGGTTTTTAGTCAAAACTACAGTGTTTGACTTCTGAGTTGAGAACACTGAGTTCTGAAGGCAGGTCAAACTTGTCATCAGATTGTTTGGATTGTTTGTTTCAGCTTGTTGGTTCCAAGGTCAGCTTCAAATATGTACTTTCGTACTTGGTTCTTGCTCTCATTGCCCCACCCTTTAGGCAAAGCAGCCTATAACAACGTAATTATTTAATTTCCCACCCCACTACTGCCAACAATGCTTCTGTGCACGGTATCTGTGGGGATGCTTTTCAGTCTCAAGTTCTGTGGAAGCATCAGCACTATCCTAATGTGTTTGTGTATACCTCTCTGTGATGTAGACAAACCACACAGAAATCAGGAAAAGTCCAGTATTGCACACACGCTTGCAAATTGTGGGAAGGCTTAGAGCAAAAAGGTGGCCCATACAGTCCCAGCTCACCTTGTACCACATGGAACATTTTTTACTTCATCTGTTTGTAACGTTGTCTAGAAAAGAGAAAGCGAACAAAATGTTAGCTTCTGCCACAATGAGCAGTGTTTCTGCAATATGTAATGGCAAATACTCAGTTCCTCCCGTCAGTCACCGTTCAGCTCAGTCTGGTTAATCAATAGTACCCAGTCCGTTTTTCTGACATTTATCAGAGTTGGAGATCTACCCCAATACCTATCTGTCCTAAGATTGCTCAACTAAAACACAAGGGAAACTGGTTCAGCATGCTTTCCAGGTGCCAAATCCAGGAGATAAGCTCTCTAGTCATCTTACAAAAGAAACAGAAGGCTTGAGCCTGTTTCAGATAAGAACAGACAAAGGGCATGGGGTGACAAATCGAGAACAGAAAGGGTCTACTGCATTCTGGGAGCTGCAGTGTCAATACAGGAATCCAAGAAGCGACTTATATGGCGTTCATCTAGCCTCATATGGTTGATACTCCGACAAAACTCATCTCACCTTCAAGGGCTGAGTATGGGTTGTCGCTGCAATGTATGTTACCATATTGTCAGTCTGATGTTGGGTTGTAAATCATGGTTTATTGCCGCAGGTAGATTCAGACAACATAATAATCCCTATTTAAATTCAGTGACAAGCCTCACTCAGCCCATATTCAGACCTTGAGTATGGGTCTCAACGCAGGCATTGACGAGGAAAGTATCTCCCAAGGTCTCAAGAAGAATTTTTCCAACTCTGCCTAGAGATGCCAGGGAGTGAACTGGGGCTGTTCTGCGAATAAAGCATGCACCCCACCACTGAACCAGAGCCTCTCTTGCCTTCATGCACAACTGAGGAACATTTACACTGGAGTAATACCAGAGTGAAACCCATGTGAGCATGTAGGTGGCACTAAGAAATCATACTCCTTATGATTACAGAGAAAATCAAAGACAAACTGCACTTTTTCACATCCTCTTTTCCAGAGCCTGGCCGCCTTGAACTGTTCGATGGAACAGTATTATCTGGTGAGCCATTTCAAAGATTCACAGAATAGTAGAGTTGGGTCAAGGAGGCCACTGGGTCTAACGCCCTGCTGCTGCAGGTCCCCAGTTTACACCATCCCTCTCAGATGACTGCCCAGTGTGTGTGAAGTTTCTTCTCAGGCTGATCAAGATCAAGCTTCCTCAAGCTTGTAATGGTGTGGCAAGAAGCACTCACTATGCTCTGTGGGTTCACTGCCCACAAGCTGGCTCACCGCACAGTTAACCAGCACTACATGATGCAATTTAGAGCACCTTCCATTGGGCAGAAGTCAGGTATAAATCATCCCAAGCTGAAATGGAGTAAAGACTATCTAACTTATTTTTCAGGTTCGATAACGGTCATTTAAGCTTTCGGGTGTGATCTTTGAGATCCATTCAAGTTTTTCACAGGGCAGAGGGAGTGCAGAGGTGAGTTTTGCCTCCATACTCCTTTTGCCCCACATAGGATGTCCATAGTGCTCTAATTCGGAAGTCCAGGGACACCTGAACTGCATTGTGCCCTAAGGCAACTGAACTACATATGCAAATTCTAAACCATTTGAAATCAGAAGTGGAGATTTTCCAGGTGCAGAATCTGAACTTGCAGGAGATAGAATAGCACTGTTTAATGCAGCACATTAGATTGTTGGGCAACACTAGAAGGAACGCTGTGTGCTACACTCCTGCAAGAAAGTCACAGAAATAAGCAGTACCTGCACTGATTTGTAAGAAGTTATGAAGGGGAGCATAAGGTGGAAGCCAGGCCCACTGGTGCTTGTCAACAGCGCTCCTCCCCTGCAGGGGAAAAAAGAATAGGAGGAAGGAATACATTTAGGCATTACTGCAATTCTTTGCCCATGATAATGGGAGACACTTTAGAAATGTCCATCTAGCACTTCCAGATTGCCTAAGGGCTGGTATCATAGCAGCCTTCTCTTCCTCATTATCTAAAATCAGGATGGGGGAAAACTGATGCTGGTCTTCCAGATGTTGTTGGACTAACACTCTGTAGCCAAACATCTAGGCAGTAACATGTGTCCCACCTTAAACTCAATGCAGGATAGTTGGAAAACTATTTATGCTATTTGGATGTCATCTCACAAAGTTCTTAGGGACACTTATATATAAAACTACTGAAATACAAAGTAACACATATCATATCATCAAAAGCAACATAACCACAGTAAACAAATAAAAGTCACACTACCACAATTTTAAAAAAATAAATAAAACAGAGCCACAAACCATGCAAGCTACTTAAAAGGCCTGATTGAAAAGTACCGATGCACACTGAGAACAGCACCATCAGACCTCTCTAAGAAGGCTGTTCCATAAGCAAGCCGTCGCCGCCACCAAACATATTTTTTCCCTACTGGTTACCCACTTTGTTTCATTTGGAGGGATCCCTCAGAGCAGATTCCCTCAAGATCCTAAAGCCGGTAATTACGCAAGTGCAGCTGACAAACTACACCATCCCGTATCATGTTAGAATTTTGACCCTGCCATTCTCATTCTGAAGTTATCATCTTCCATCACAGCATGTACCTACATCAGCTGGAGGGAGCACTCAAGGGATCTCAGTGAGATTTCAGCTATAACAGCCACTGTTCATGCCTCTGCAACATGAAGGCTGGACTACCGTAACACATCATTCCCTGCTGTAACCAGAAAACTGGTCACAGCCCGCCTCCTGAACCCTCTAGTGGCTGTACAAGCCCCCCACTGACTTTCTAGCATAATTTAATCTAATTAATCGATCAAACAAGATCTAAACAGGGATGCACAGTCTCTTTGGTCTATGAGTCACATGCAGTGCTGGCCCAGGGGCTGCATACATCCATGAAAGCACACAAGCAAACACCAACAACGTCCATGAAAAGCGTGATCTGGAGGGCTGTCAAAATGGAGCCACACCCATGCAAAAAGCAGCATTCCTTCCAAAGGCATACCTGTAATAGACACCAATGTGCCCTTCTTCAATCTTGTGTATTGCAGAAAAAAGAGCAGCTGCTACCAGGCTGGCAGCTAGAGCTGCTATGGCACCCAGCTGAGTCATCCCTGAGAGTGTAGCCTAGGAGAAAGGGAGAAAGGGGGAAATCAGTATCACCACAGAGATAAGAGAACAATTACTTACGGTGCATTCTGGAGTTCTGTGTGACACTGGGCTCATTCTTCTACAATACTGAGGAAAGGCTGTCCTGAAGATATAGAGTGGTATTAGACACTAAGAATTCCTTTGCTTTGGCCAGGTGCAGAATTTTTCCTACCAGACAGACAGGTGCCCTCTGGAAGCTCACAGTGAATAAAACCATGTTTACCCCCAACACTTTGTGTTCAAGAACTATATTGCCTTGGGACACTGAAGTTCTGTTTCACTGCACAGCTAATAGGTGCTTATTGCTCTGTTCCCATTAAGGGATTCTCTAATTCCCAATTTCAAATGCATTATCCCGAGAATCTAAACTGCTTTTTAAATATGTATTTTAAGTCAGGCTTCCAGTTGTCATAGATGCAGAAATCAGTTTAGCAACGTGCGAGCAGCACCTGATGAAACCTCACAAGCTACAAAGTAGATAAACAGATTTCTGATGATCATTGGGTTAGGTTACAGCAGCTTCCCCTAACCTGGGGCAACCCTGCTAGACTCTAGTGCTCATGATCCCCAGCCAGCATGGTCATGATGGTGGAGTTGTAAAACAATTTGCTTGGAAGGAACCAAGCTGGGGAAGATAGCTTTAGAACAAAGCTCTTTTGCCTCCTGCCCAAAGATTAGCAAAAGCAGGATTAATTATGCAAAACAGATATGTGCAAATTTGTATACTCTGCCAATTTTATACTTATCAGATTGGATGGAAGCTTAATGAAATGTCTATCACCATTTGATCTTTCTTAGACACTCCCATCCAAGCATCCCAAATTCTGTAATTACAAAATTCGAAGGAATCAAGGAACAAGAAAGATCAAAGAGATGAGAGGTAAAAGTTTCTGGACTGCTTCTTGCAACTTTAGCTATACAGAACCCTAAGCTAAATATTCAAATAGAACACATTCCCCACACACAGAATATTTACCATGGCTTTTCCCAGCCAAAGCCCTAGTGCAGGGGTCCTCAAACTTTTTCAACAGGAGGCCAGTTGAAAGGCAGTGGTGGTGAGGTAGGTGAAGAGGCAGAGGCTTGCTTGCTCGGAGATCTCCAAGCGAGTCCAAAATTATCTCTGAGCGAGCAAGCTGCTGCCTTGCCACACAGTGGCAGGTGTGGAGAGTCCGAAATCTCCGAGGCACGCTGGATAAATGGGCATGGCTGGCTGGATCCGGCCCAGGGGCTGTAGTTTGAGGGCCCATGCCCTAGCGAAATGAGTGGGGATTGCACAGCAGCAGCATGTCTTTGTACAATGAAGCACAATCTGGCTGAACATTAGGGGAAACTTCCTAACAGCGAGTGCTGTTTGGCAGAGGAACAGTCTGACATGGGAAGTGGCAAACTCTCCTTTGCTTGAATATTGAACTAGAGCAATCTGTCAGATATGCAGTTGTCTCATCCTGCACTGGAGACAGCACTGCATTAAATGCCCTCTAAGGTATCTTCCAACAGTGATTAATTTTCAACAGAAGTATACAGTGATTTGTACCATATTTCCATTACTTAATAATAGTACCCAGAATCTGATGTTCTTACCTTAGAAGGGAAGCCTCTGTTCCAAAAGCTAGCCTACTGCATGAGGCTTCGACAGGCAAATACTGATACAAAAGCAGCTCTAGATGACTCAAGTAAAGCAGTCAAGCCACATGCTGTTAGGGAAGGCCATCCAATCTGCCAGGAAGGCCACTTCAGCAAATCCCTGAAAACAAACCTGGGTAACCTGTGGACAGCATAACGCCTCCACAGGTATTCCAGGTTGTGCTTGCAGGTGCCCAAGTCACCCCTTCCTCCATACAGATCATGTAAAAGCACAATTTGACAGGCTGGGGAGAGTGTGACTGTGTGGGAAAGGAGGAGTAGGGAGAAAGTCCTTCTTCAATCTAGCAGAGCAAGTCTTTGTGCATTCCTTTCTTTCAGAGGCCCCTCAGCACACACCAAGAATTGGTGCTTTAAATGCCCCTATCGCCACATGGAGAGATTGGTGGGGAGGATAGTGAATGTATGCCCCTCACTGGGTGTGAGAAAAGTGTAACAGTTTGAGAAGGAACAAAGGAAAGAGTTGTATGTGAGCACACACAGACACAAGACCCTTAATTACTTTCAGGTACAATCTTTAATACATTTAGAAGAAAGAAGTCCTACTACTCCCAGCCAAACATTCATGGTCCAAGTTTCAAAACTCCAGCCAAACACAAAGCTCATTAATTGACAAAGAACTGTCTCACAGGAATACACCCCTTCTTCCCCAAACTAGCCTACATCACAAATTTATCATGCAAGTAAGTGAGGGTATCATCCGATACATTTGTTGCTATCTTCAGGAAGCTTGTTATTCCCCCACCATTTTTAAAGCACTGAATTCTGGGTGTCTAAAAACCTGTGGTTTTAATTTCTTTGGTTTTATTGCGGTTCTCTCACCCTGTCCTTTCAGTTGGATTATTTGTGTAGGGAGACTTTAGCTGAAAAACAGTATCGAAATACAACAAATTAAAGGGCACACCCCATAAATACAGCTCTCTGAGCACCTCTCTTGGAGGAAAGGTAGGTTCAAAACGTAACAAAAGACTAAAAGGCAAAATAAAAGCTCTCAGTCTATGCTCTTGCAGAAAGAGGAACCGAGAGAGAGATGGCTGGAAAGTTGGCCTTGCGGAGCGGGGAGGGTGAAGGAAGAAAATACGCATCAGGGCACAAAGTAACTCGGATATGGCATCGTCGGCGATCTTCTGAGGAAAGCGTGGCAAACAGGAGGAGGCGAGAAAGAAGGCTGGACGTGCTGGTTTGTTGGGGGACACCAGCAACCACAGAACCAAAAGAAAGGCACGAGTAGGCCGGGATAACCCGGGAGAGACAGGCAAAAGTAAAACTCAGAGGGTCCCTATAACAGGGAAAGGAGCAGGCCTTTGCCAGCAGGGAAGGAGCAAAGGCCGCTCCCGCCCAAGCCTCGTGTACTCACCACGGCCGGCCGATCCTCCTGCTCCAGCCGCTGCTGCCGACTTCCGGGTAGTCGCTCCCATGACGCCATCAGCCGTCGTCGCCAGAGAGCGCCCGCTTTCTCTACCTGCCCCGCGGCGCACCACCCACCTGGCCTGTGAGTCCCGCGCTGCCGCCGACAGAGGGCGCAAGAGGGCTGGTGCGGAAGTCGCCGACCCTGCGAGCGGCTCCTTCTGCGCACGCGCAGAGGGGCATTGCTCGGCTTCGGCGTCCCCGCGGGGAGTCTGGCGCCCCGCGCCGGAGTGCGGGGAAGCCCCGCTTGCCGCCGAGGCGCGGTGGAGAAGGCAGTGCACGGCCGGGGAGCCTTCCAGAGGCCGTTGCCCGGCACTCTGGCTGGCTGGCTGGCTGGCTGGCGATCTCGCCTGGGGCTGACGGAGCTGGAGCCCAGCTGCAGCCGAAGAGCCCCGCTCGGAGGAGCACTCGCGCACGCGGCCCCTCTGCGCAAGGCCCATCGCCCTGGCATAGCATGTGGGTAATGGGAACTGCCGTCCAAAGGCACGTGAGAGCCCCAGGTTTGGAAGGGCCGAGGGATGGCCTGATGCAGAGGGGCGTAGGGTTCCTGCACCGATGGTGAGCTCTCTCCCAGCCACAAGCCATTGGAAGTGCAGGGACGCCCAGCTTCTTTCGTGCTTGGCCGCCCGACACAGCCGCTGTGGTGTTGCTGTCAGAGCTGGGCCCTTCAGATGCTCGCCTGCAGCTCCCATCAGCCCTGGCTGCACTAGCTGGGGAGAGAGGTGTTGGAGTACAACCGCATCTGGGGGTTGGGTGGGGGGCGTTTCATGTCCACTGTCCCTGGGCTTAGAGGAACTGCATCCCTGGGCGGCCTTGGAGTCCAGTGCAACTAAAAGGCACCAGCTTGGGGTGGCCCGGTTAGGGTGTTACACCAGAGATGTAAGCTCCCACTCGACTGAAGGCAGTGGCCTTGCGGCTGTTGCCAGCCTTCAGTCCACCTCCCAAATTGCTAGGATGAAAAGGTGGAATGCAAAAATGGGAAGAACCACATAAGCTGCCCTGAACTCTAGGAGGGACACAAGAAAGACATGCAGTGGTGAAATAAATAGGCTTCATGACCTATTCAGGACCCAGAGAGCCCGTCAGTAGATGACGCACCCAGGGCTGGAAGGGAAGTGCTAACCAGAGTTTGCCAAATCGGCTGTACTGGATGGGCATGATAGGAGTTGTGGTCCAACACACCTGGAAGGCATGAGGGTTGGGGAAGACTGGATTAGAGCATTCAACTTCAGCCAGGGAGATCTGGGTTCAAATCCCTGCTCAGCCACAAAATATATGTGGTAACCTGGGGCCAATCATGCTCCTTCAGCCTCGCCTACCTCCCAGGATAAGGGACAGGAAAGGAGGAGACTATACATATGTTACTCTAGCCTTCTCAGAGGAAAGTTGGGATACAAATCTTTCCCAGTGTAGTGTAGCCATTAGAGTTTTGGAAGGGGAGATCTATTTTCTAATCCCAGGAAGTCCGGTGGGCCAGTCACTCACTCTCAGTCTAACCTACCTCACAGGGTCTTTTGAGGATAAAATGGAGAGGAGGTGAATTTTATAAACCACCTTGAGTTCCTTGCAAGAGGAGAAAAGATGCGATATAAATGTAATAACAACAACAATGTACAATGTGATACTGGATAAAGGTATTACTTTTTAAATAACTCATCCTCCAAGGAACATACTCCATCATCCTTGAGTTCTGAGATTTCCAAGACACCTGCCCAAGGTTTAACTTCTCCAGGACCAGGGATATTTATCCTTGAGATTCTGTGCCAACAAATTAGATGAAAAATGGAGACTACCACATGTCATAGCGCTGCAGTTCTTCACACTGATTTGGAGAGCAGCGAATGTGTTCTACGAGCAAAACGGGTACCTACTCGTCTCAGTGCAGAGGTCACAGTTGTCATGGCCTGGCAGCTATGGAGATGCAATGTCACTGGAAGACCTTAACACTAGTTTCCAGCCTCCTTTTTCCCCCTTAGCCAAAAAGTCTGTTGGCAATTAAAGAACAAGCCTGTTTTCTGTTAGGATGCACATTTAGCTAAATGAAAGGCCAATAATGGGAAGAATGACAGATCATGCAGAAATCCTGGGTGAATTTATGCACACATGTAAATGTAACTGCTGAAGGGACTATAAAGAAACACTGAAGGATGTATAAAATGCCAGTAACGGAATAATTTGATCTTTACACACCCACACCCACGCATACCTGTCAGAAGAACTCTGTGCCAATTTATAGAAGTAAGTAATGAAATATCTGCAATATTTGTCAATCCAAATTTTACAGCTCCTAAATAAGTGTTTCCAAAAAAGGTGTCAGGGATGAAATATGCCCTTGTGTTAAGTTTTTAAACACTTGGCCAGATTTAAAGCCTTGATAAAATGTATTAAATCTTTTAAGGTTTTTAATGAATCTAGCACGTGTTTCATAAATCATGGAGCCTGGCTTGGCCCCTTTGCGTTTTAATAACAGTAAACGAGGAAATTGCTGTGAGCTCAGGCAAAATACATTCCTATAATAGTGAAAGCAAATAAGGCTTTTGAACACTCCCATCAAAAAACCCTAAAAAATAAATCTGGCTCATGGTTAGGACTGGCTTTGGCTTACTGTAAATCAAAATCCACATGTGTTTCTATGGTTAACAATATCAAGATGTGACCTGGTGCAAAAGTCAATATTATTAGTAAGGATCTAGAAGAAAAATATATCTTAAATTGAAGGAGCTGTTAGAAGTACCACTTTGCCATCCTCTGGAATCCTGGAAATATTTGTCCAGTAGTAGCTGGGCCACATTTTCTGTGACTGTGTTGGATAAATACGGCATATAGATGGAATAAGCCAAGTTCTTGGCAAATAAAAGGTGTCACCCTTGCTGAAGTGGTAAGCTTGTACCTGGCCTATACCATTTCTAACTGCATATAGGAGTTCATGCAATTCATACAATTTGGTGTTCCCTTGCTGTCAGAACTCTGCCACAGACAGTGGTCTGAGATGAGCTATGACAGGAGGCAAGCCGAAAACCAAGGTGGAAAGAAAAACCAGGAGGCAGAATTAGGGATTGAGCCAGACGGCATGACGAACGCGGCAGAGTTCAGAAAAACCGTGTGCTGGGTCAGACTAATGGACCATCCAGTCACTCACCAATCAGCTACATGGAATGACCCTGGATTCTACTATTATGGGAGAGGGAGGAAGAGTTGTTCCTCTCCACTGTCTCCATGCAATGCATAACTGAACACCTCTCTCATATCTCCCATTACTCACCCTTTCTCTAAGCCAAACTATCCCAGCAACTGTGACCTTTCCTCATGGTGGGGTTGCTAAAACTCCTCGATCCTCTGGGATGCCCTTCTCTGACCTTTCCCAACTCTGTAATGTCCCTTTTCAGGTGTAGCAACCAGAATTGTGTATAGCCATCTAAGTGTGGTCACACCAAAGAATGGTTGTATGAAGGGGCTATAATCTTGGCCATTTTATTTTCAGTTCATTTCCTAATTATGCCTAAGATTGGTTGACATTTCCATCAAGCTGCCACCACAACCCCAGGATTGCTTTCTAGCTCAGATCCCATTGCTCTGTGCTTGACGTTTTGGGGGATTTCTTGCCCTAATGTGAATTACTTCGCACTTGCTTAAACTGAACTTCATGAACTATTTTGACACCCTTCTCCCAGCATAAAGAGATCCCTTTGGAGCTGCTCACAGTCCTTTTGGTTTAACCATCCTAAATAGTTTGGTGTCACCAGGAAACTTGGCCACTTCACAGCTCACACCTAATTCCAGATGATCTATGATTACATTGAAAAGCATCTGTCCCAAAATAGAGAGCCCTGTGGGATCCTTCTGCTGACCATCCCTCCATGGGGCTGATGGCCATTTATTTATTCCCACTCTCTGTGCTCTGTTCTTTAGCATGTTGCTCTAGTAGGGCTCAGCTGCAACTGGAAGCCCTCTTGCTCGCATTCTTGTCCAGGTAGTCCAATGACCAGGGTGGGTGGGCCAGTCAAGCCAAGCCCAGAAAGTACTTGATGAAGAATACTGCCAGCTACAGGTCCATGTTTCACCGCTTCCTACTTTAAAGAGGACAGTAATCTATTTGAAGGTGTTCTCTGTTTGCAGGGCTGCCCAGACAAATCTGGTTTAACATTCCTAAGAAGCAAGAGCTGGACTTGGACTTGCCCAGCCAACAGTTGGAACCTAGAGAGCGAAGTGGGCAGTAGGTACGGGACTCCTGGCCACCCTAATCCATCATGCAAGCTCTTACCTGCAGCATTAGGTGCTACTGCCCAGACTGTCTATGTTGGTGAGAAGAGAGACTTATAATTACTTGTTGGTGGGCAAAGGATTGTAAAACTTCCAGGCTAACAACAGGCTGAATTTTAAAATTCTCTCACAATTTCAAAGCCTTGTGTTAGCCTTCCACTCGCCCTACCTTTGTGACGCGCACACTCACTTACCTTGCCATATTGGAGCTAGTAAAACGTTATTTGGAACTTTTTACTAGCATGCAAACTGAGACTGGATCAAAGGTCTGAAATATTCTCGTTAACACAATTGTCTCCAGCCCGTCTGGGGTGGGAGGGCCAGAAAACGACACAGACACACACAACTTTGCGTAGAGATCCAATATTTGATTTCATTATTTCGCTCTGGCCTTTTACAAGCTCAAGCAACACATGCATGAAAGGAGCGTGACTGGTGCTGGATCTGAACAGGTGGACAAAACGCCACCTTTGGCAGTCAGTAGGGTCTTTTGTCTATTATCTACAGGGGAAACTTAACTTCCTTCACTAGGTTATTTAGGAAAGCTGGTGGTTGTCTTAAGCTCAGCAGGGGAGAAATCTGTCCATTGCATTCCAATGTAACCCAGCTCTGCTAAAGTGCTGTGTAAAAAAAGTCTGTCTAACCTCATTAACTGTCACAAGCAACAATACTGAGCTGGCATTTAAGGCAATTTTGAGCCTGTGGGTCATTAATCACTTCCTGACATAAATAAAGCTGGAAAAACTATCCCCCAGCCTTGCTTTTGAGTTTAAGGTTACCTCTGTCTGGATTAGTATGTAC